TGCCAGCAGAGTTGTCTCAGATCTCTGTGTCTTTGCACTGAGCTGGACTCTTTGTTCCTTATTCTTATTAAGCAAAACCAAGGAGTGTGGGAGAAAATCAGGAGGCAAAACTCACCACAGCCAGAGCAGTCCTGTAGCCCATGGTAATCAGATGTTTCCAGATTAAAAGACCAAAAGGTTTGACAGGATATAAAGAATTAAACCATGGCCTGGAGTTAACTGAATGAGGAAAGAGGCCATGAGATCAAGCCCTAAGTGTCTCTCTGTCATGGAAAGATGAGTGTCATATCAGGACAGATCAGCTCATTTTCTTGCTTCCTGTACGCTTCTTTTTCTATTGAATCACGATCATCTTGGACATTTTTTAGTGCCTCAAGTAACTTTCAGGATGCGGAAATCCTCCTCCACAATCAAATCTTGAGGGAAAGTAATGAATCTTGGAATAGGAGACTACCCGCATTGAATGTGGCTAAGATGTAAATGTGCAAAGATATTCTAGACTTTACAAAAGTAAGAAGGAATTGGGAAAGCAAGAAGGAAGTGGGAAATTCTTGGGAATTCTTGGGAATTCGCAGTGAATTGGGAAAGATCAAGGAGCAGCATGGAGCCACGTGGCCATGAGACCACGCATCCTCGCAAGGAGAGATGAAACTTGTCTCCAGAGAGACAAGTTTCTGCTCTCCGTGCTCTGCCTGAGCCACGGAGCTGTCCTGGCCCATGTCTGGCCATGCCTCCCCAGGCCACCTTTAGCAGCACGCTGCAGCCAGCTGCAGTCTGCAACTCACAGCAAGCCACGTTTAATGACAGGCCTCGAATCAAACTGGAAACAAGAACGTCTGCCAGACTTAGGCCACTGAAAACTGCCTTAATGGCACCAGCATGAAATAACAAACAGAAAAAAAAATAATGAAATTCCTTGAGCAGGCTTCAAGTGAAGTTATGCTTCTTTTGAAGAGTATGGGGAGTTTAGCAAATTCAGATAGGATGTGGGCGTCTTGAGACGCTCCTTTCATCTTACTTAATTGAGGCTCAATTGTTTCATTGGAAATTAATGGTTAAGTAATTTCTATGCAAGTTGACTTTATTCTGTCTCCAGATAAAATGAAACACATACATATTTCAACACTGTTAAAACCTTCAACTTCAATTTTCAATAGGGTGGAGCCTACACCAAGTGAGAGCAAGATGACAGCTGACCAGCTCTTCCCATTATTTTCCATGAGTTCACAGGGAACTTTCACACCAATATATGGAAATGGAAAAAACAGCAGTCAAATCACTGCATTCCTCATTAACATGAAGACTTTGCATAGTGTATTACCCTTTCATTTAAGCCATGCCAGGTATGGGTACTACAACTATTCATATACATCAGGAAAAGATGTTGTAAATAATATTGCCTCTGGCCAACTTGGCACTTTGACCAATGCGGGAGGAACCAACCCTCTTTTGTACCCTCAACACAGAGTGCACAGAGCCAGGCACCCAGGTGCCTGGCAGATACATGCACACGTACAAATGACAGCATCACAACCCAATGATTGTTATCTACGGAGCACTCTGCCCTATCTGGAAATTCCAGGTTAACTGCTCACAGGGTATCTCAACTCCAAATGGGGACTGTGTGATAACACAGAATGCCAGAATGGTTGAGGTTGGAAGGGACCTCTAGAGATCATCCAGTCCAACCTCCTGCTCCAGCAGGGACACCCAGAGCACAGGGTGGCATCCAGGCGGGTTTTGAAGACTTCCAGAGAAGGAGACTCCACAGCCTCCCTGGGCAGCCTGTTCCAGGGCTCTGTCACCCTCACAGAAGTGAAGGGTTCTTCTTCAAAGAACAACGACAACTTCAAAGAAGTTCTCCACCTGGAGATGAAACTGCCTGTGTTTTAATTTATACTCATAAATATGTGTATGTCTGTGATGGAAAACCTACAGAATCCCATTTTGCACACATGGATGTTTATTTTGCAGTTCTATCCGGGATGTCTGCTTTGACACTGCACCTTTGCTCTCATATTGCTCTTAAGGCAGGAGGGGGAAGAAAAGTAAAAAGAGCAAAAGCAATCAGTTTTCAGCACTTATGGCACTGATTTTGTCAACATCATTGAGTTCAATGGGCCTTTATCAGAAGCTCAATTGCTTTCCAGGAGAGGAAATTAAGCATATACTTAAGGCACATCTTTACACTTGCTTAAGTATTTACTGAGGCAGAGCCTTATTACAAAGGTCTAAACAAAATGTGAATCTGTGACATATTGCCATATTCAATTTTCAGCCACAGGTCTCAAGGGAATAGTGAAGAGGGAAATTAAAAAGAACTACCCAAAAGGGCAGAGCTGCCCAAAGAACAAAACGCTGCTGGTTTGCTACTGGGAAAATGCTTCACTGCTTAGGAAGAAAATTCTCCCCAGGGCTACATTTCTGTGTTTATTAGGTGGGACAAGCTGATGAAAGAACAGAAGCTGTTCCAGCGACAACTGCTAACAGCCCGCTGAAGAAAACCACCACACACCCTGTGGCGGGGCTGGTTTCACAGGATGGGTTTCACAGCCGTGAGATCTCTTGGGGCTACAGAGGGTTGGGATAACTAAGAATCAACTACAGGCATGAAGTTAGGGCTCAGGAAACCCTTGATGTTCTCAGTTGGAAGGTAAGCAGTATTAAGCCTAGTGCAGGGAGGTGCATGCTGCCTCTGACTACTCACCAGCCAGATGTGAACCAGCACTGGCTCCAAAATCCATGCTTCCCTTCATTCCTTCCCATGCTGCAAATGCAGATTTTAATTCTCAGTTGAAGCTGATGAGAGAGATTCAAATAACCTACTCATTTCTCACTGGCTTGGTACTTCGGATGGGTGAAGTGAGAAAAAGGGGACAAGGAATAAAAAGAAGACAACTGGCTTAGTCATTTCTGAAAAGCCTGGGAAATGCATTTTATCTGTTACACTGCGTTATCCAAGAGTGTCCAAGATGCTGTGGCAGCACAGTATTAGCTATAGGGTGAGGACTGACAAATTTTTGAGAATTTTAACACTTTAAATGTACTAGAACTCAAATGTTTACCTCAAAATTAACCCACTACTTGCAGGTAGCAATCACTGAATTTCTGCGCCTCCGCCAGTCACCAAATCTGTGATTGCAAAGCACTGCTGTTCTTTCAGATGTACTTGGCTGCAGCAGTCATTCCAAAATGCATCTCAAACTACCAGTGCCCCTAACATTCCTATTTACTTTTCAGCGTTGCTCTAAGACCATTTCAGGTGCTTTTTCTAAAAAATGAAGTAAAGCATGTGGAGCTGATTGTCACTGAATCTCAACAATGTCCAGAGAGCTTCCTCAAATAGCGTCACAGCGTTCCCTGAGGATTTTTGTTAAATGGGCACTGTGATGCCATATGCACAGCAGTATACAGTTCATCTCTTGGCCTCACCATTCCCTTTCCACTAGGAACATGGAGCAGCTGCTGATCGCTTGCATCAGTCTCTCATATACTGAATTTTTAATCCAGATTTTATCAGAGGAATCGCACTGACATTTTGCAACAGGGCTTCCTAAACCAGCAAAGGAAAGGCAGGATTTGGGCTGTCCTGTACATTCATTTTAGCTAGGCCACCACTGAAAGTGAAATGCCATTCGGTGGAGTCAATGCAGTGCTACTGAATCTCACAGCTGCACTGGACAACTTCCTCTTCCAGATTTTAACACCCTAACAAAAAAATACAAGGGCTCTTACGTCTCCTGTGCCAACAGTTCTGCATTAAAAATGAAAATTTGATATTCTTTGACAGATGCATAACCTAAATGACCCTCTCCCATATCAGGTGATGTGCTAATTAGTGCATTATGCATTGGCAGTTAAGCACCAAGGAAGAAAAAAGCTGACCTTGCAGCCACAAAGCATTCATTCAGGTACCTCAGTGCTCATCCTCCTCTGCATAGGACCTCCCTACGAGCAGTTAGGGTATGTACAGGCCGTTCCTAAAGCCGCAGCATAGTGGAAGAAGACCAAAAGCAGGCAGGAGTTCAGTGCCGCTCAGAAACTCTCGTGCATGATTTCTCTCTCTTCACAGACCATCAGGCACGAAGTGAAGTAAAGATAACCAAGGCTGGAGCTTTGAAACTTCAGGAGAGAAAACAAAATGTTCGTGCCCCTTTCCAAGCCCAAGTGAAACTACATTGGCTAAAAGAGAGTGCTTGGCCCCATGCACTATGCCATATTGACATCAGCAACTGCAGTTTAATTAAAGAGCTTCTATTGGCAGATCGTGGCACCTTGAGGGTACCTTTTAACGCATAAATATTCCTCCCCAAGAGGGATGAACGTCAGTGTTGGTCTTCAGAGAACCAACTTCCCCGCTGAAACAAAATACTGAAACTCCACTGCAGTTTGAGGAGCTGTACTAGTAATTCCTAGCAGGGAGCCTGTCCCAAAATCTCTGGGTGTGAACCAGGGCACACTTAGAAATCCATTTTCTAACTCTGACACTCCTACCCCCATCCACCCATCTCTAAATAACAAGAAAACTGACTCTTCTCCATCATTCCATTACTTAAATCATCTTAAATTACTTAAATGACTGGTTCAGCTCCAGCCTTATTAATTCAAGAAGAAAGGATGGAAGAGGGAAGACTGACAACAGACACTGTAATTCACTACCTATATCTCAGCAAATATGTACAAGTATAAGCAACAATTCAGTCAGTATGCAGTGTAAGTGAGCAGAGAGCCCAGCTTTGCAGATTTTTATCACACAAAGAAGATGCCATTTCAAAAGAGTGCCAATTAAGAAACAGCTGTGCAAAAGGATTAATGGAACCGAATGGATATGTTACAAAGGTCTTCTTAACTACAGAATATCTATCTATCTTTCTTTCCATATATATACACATATATACACATACATAAACACACAGTTATATATATAGATAGATAGATGGATAGATATGAATACATACACGCGCACACGCATACATATATATATATTATGTATATATATATATATATTTCGGTTCTTGAAGTGGTTACAACTACTTTAGTCTACAAGGCATCCTAAGGGCACTTCCTGGCTCTAGCAATTAAGTCCATCATATTATGGAGAAGAGTAAGGGAACATCATTGAGGGAGAAGAACAGAACAGTTTCCTATCTTGTATAATATAATGTGAAAAGTCGACACCTGGAAAACTATCATTGTTGTTTCTGAGCACAGACATTTTCTCCCTATGCTCCAGGAGAGCAAATGCTCATCTTGTTCAACTGCTTTGTATAGAGGTGCCACTATTTGTTTTTCCCTTTTTGGTGGATAAGTGGATAAGTAATTGTTTCCAAATAGTTTGGACAGTGTGATTCAAATATCCTATGCACCATTTTTTTTGTTGGTTAAAGGGATTTTAAAAGAGTTTTGCTTTTTTCTTCATGTCGTTGCGTCTCCAGAGAGGTAACTTGTCAAACTCCTGTATCGTCATGCCAAATATTTCTTGGAAAACTTCAGGTGCTAAGTGACGCTGGGAAAAAGGGAGAGAAGGCAATGGTCAGTCAAAGCCAAACAGACATTGCGGGAGATAGGAATGCCTTATGGATTTCATTTCACTGTGCAAGAACCATTACAGCACCTAGAGACAGGAACTTGATGAAATAACAGTGCTTTGGCATCCATGTTCTCATGGACCATTAATGAATCAACAACATTTTGTTCCCATCCAGCAATTTAAGTCACAGAAGGTTATGAAAGGAGATCAGGACCACTATTTCAACCTCAGAAACAAGAAAATGATTTGCCTGGAGCCATGAAGCAAAGCAGTGGGAGAACAGAGAACAAAAATAGCTCTACCCTGTCCCAGGCTTTAACTAGCCATCTCCTTTCATATATGGAAAATCAGACAGACACTGGCTTTAAGGAGAGTTTTTCAGAAGGGCTGGACATGCTGCAGCCTAAGTTCTGAGAAGGAAATGTCTGGTCAGCCCAACTGTCCAGCACACTGCACTATGGGGATGAAACATTTGCTGATGCTGTTCTGGGCACTGGTTACGTGTCTTGTTCAACTGCTTTAGAGTACACTGCATAGGGACACTCTCTGCCTGTGGGACCTATGTAACACAAGGTTGAATTCTCCTTAGAAATCATACGTATTTACTTGTCTAAAAATGTGCATAAATGAGTACTTCTCTGAATCTTGTGGCGCTTTTTATTCTTCTCCTCAAGATTAATTAACTACAAGTGATTCAAACATCCCTGGCCAAGTATTTCCGCTGGACTGATTAAATCTTTCTAATCCACAAAATTGCACACATCTTATTTTGGTTAGCGGAGATTTAAATCGTCATGCTTTTGGGTATCAGCCAGCTTAACAAATTCACAGGACTTTTGGATGAGATAGAGGAAGGTAGACTTCAGCTCCTCAGGAATAGCTGCTACTGGCTCTGAGTAATTGCTTGACAATTTAAGGGACTTTGAGCAGCTCTGTGCAGTTCCACAGGGCCTAGAATTTGCTCATGGAGAAGCTGCTGCTTCCTCCTGCTGTCCAATTCCTGCTTCTCTGTCTAATGCTGAGAAACTTCCCCAGTCTAACAAGGACCCACGCTTCAGTGTTTGAGCTTTCAGGTGTGTAAAAACAAACATCTACAGTAGGAAAGAGCATTTAGGAACTTGCTTTGCTTACCTCAAGCCTGGTTCTGTCTACATCTTTTAGTATTTTATTTCGCCCTCTGTTGGTCACCATGAGCATTTCATATGGAAAAATCTGTTAACAACGTATAAAAGGGGGAAAAAGAGATGCATTTACATTCTAAAGCAGAAAGTACATGTGTCTTATTTTCATAACCACAGAAACATCTGATTTATTTTTCAAAGGAAATCTTTGTTTTTTTCCTTTTTTTTTTTTTTTTTAATGTTGCAGGAAAGGGAAGCCCATCTGGATAGCACAAAAAATTGTTTAATACCAGTATCAAACTGCCTTGAGGAATCACTGTGTGCTTGCCCACCTACTGATTATTACAGAATGTAAAATGCACAGGCTGCCTTGGATCAGACAGAGTTTCCCTCTGGTCAACCAACTTTCTCACCCATGGATGGGTGAATTTAGAGTTTAGTAAGGTAAATATCTTTGGCACTCATGGTTCTGATTGATGGTTGCCAAAAACCAGGCAGCTCTAAGAATGCAGATGCTTGAAGGACTTTTTAGAGAAGTACATGAAAGTACCACATCTTAGTACAACAGACAAAGCAGCAACTCTGAACAAGCAAGATATTCATCAGTGGGACCACTGCACTGAATGGAATTAATCAGATTATTTTCCACAAGCTCCCACTGTATTTGCTGGCTGTGACATACACAGAAGGCTTAAAGGAGAACTTTTAGTAAACATATTTATCTTGTCTTCATCTGCTTCAGCATCTCTCCTGCACATCTCCCAATAACTTTTCCTTTCATTTCCCTTTATATTGCAAACAGTGGACATAATTTACACAAAATCTGGTTAATAAATAATTTGTGAAAGCATAAAAGATTCACTTTTCATCTACTCATGTAACTTATTTGTTTCTTTGTTTGAGGTAAGATATTTATTGTTTGCTGGTCTTGGATCACTAACCCAACAGAAATACTACTGCCTAGAAAGGAATTTAGAAAACCAAGTGCCTAAAAACAGTTTCTGGAAATATCACTGTTAAATAAAATTCTCTAATTTAGCCTTTTTCCTCAGGACCAAAGTTCAATGAAACCTAGAGAGCTTGTGTCCCATCTGACAGAACTTCCCTATACCTCTAATCAGTTCCTATTTCCCTGCAGAGCAGGACAAGAGCATTTTCAGTGAAGTTCTCATCTAACCCTCTCTGAAGTCAATGAAAGTCTTCCCACAACTTCAGTGGGAATTGGCTCAGCCTTTACTGGTATTTATGGTTTTGTTTTACTGATTCAGATGCTTGCCCACTGGGAAAGTGGCCAAGTACTTTGGCCATTTGGCCAAAACTTTTCAGGAGAGGCACCTGAGCGATCAACAAATGCTGTTAAATCCATTGCCATGCTAACAAAAGAAATTCCACTTAATCAAGTTTAGTGTCCTACTGGGCAATTAAGTTCATTCCATTGTCACCAATGAATTTTTCGGAAATATAACAAATAAGATTCAGGCATCAATGAACATACCACTGAGTTTATTGTAAGTAATAATAATGTAAAGGTGTGCTTACATACCAATTGTAAGGATTCTTACTAGATTTTGACATTCTCACAAGGGTACAACGGAGGCTATACTCTGAATTACATTGCTTACGTTCTATACTGAAAATGGCTACCATATACAGCATCACAGTAAACTAAAAGGTAAGTTTTCATACTATTTAAACAGGCAGAGTTTGAGTCAAGGTCTGAGGTCATAGTACATTTTATGTTTACGTACTCAGAACAAAGCATTTGTCACTTTGGGCTGTCAGAATGCACAAATTCTGTCCTTCTGGAACACCATTTTGCAAGTTTTGATCCTGCTATGGTTTACTAATTTTCACTTCTCAGCCTTTTTGTACTGACTTTGAATTAACTTTCTTTTACCTCATCAGGTTCACGTTGGTCCTGAACCATTGAAAGGAACAGAACTACTGTCCATTCATACAACAAAATTTTTAAGGCATAATTTTTGAAATATCAAGAGTGACCTACTGCCTCACAAAAACAAAAAACCATACATTTTATTATTAATAATAAGACAGAATTTGTCACCCAAAGTAACACTCCAAATCATTGGGCATATGAACAGCAGTGGTGGCTGTAGGAATTTCTGTTCAACTTAGAGGAATTATTTGGAATAAAAAAACAGTATCTCAGGAGTTGAGGGTGTCCCTAAGGTTATATGTACATAATAATATATATGAACACTCATTAATGTACATTGCATTGGGGTCTCAGCTTATAAAGCTATGATTATTGCCTTGCACAGTTTGTCTGGAAGTGACTCGGAAGCACAGCAGGTAATCTGATTTGCCAAAAGAGCTGCTCACTTTACTGGCAGAAATGTTGATCCTTATAATTTTAGCAAAAATCATGATTTCTTAGACATTTCACCAGCAGCAAAGTTACAAGATTTAAAACAGCTCTAGTTAAGCCCCTGTAGATTACTGCAATTTTTAATCCAGACATCTCTGAAGATAGCTGTGAAAGCATCTTAATTGATATCTTAACTCATATTTAGCTAACGTTGACTCTTTTCAACAAATACCCTAAAAATTTTCTTATATAGGGAATGGGATACTGTTGAAAAATGTCAAGATAACACTAACAGATAAAGACTAGATTCAGAAAAATACATAGATGCCTCCCTGGGACAAAGATTCACGGTTTTAACTCTCAGTGGCATGTTGTGAGCCACAATATTCAGCATTGCTTTTCAGACTTTACAGAACTGAGACTCCCCCATTGAGTTTGGTCTGTAATTTTGGCTATTGAAGGAGTAACAGAAGGAGCAGCTATTGAGCATGTTGAGGATCTTCCTTTTTTCTCTGGGAACACCTCAATGCTGCACATTTTGGTTGCCCTCAGCCTGCCTAAGCACTAATACCTGCATCAGGCGAAGTCCAGAGCACAAGGAGAGGTTTGGCACACAAGGAGCAAGGATTGGGCCGAGGTAAAGAAAAACAAGGGAACCAGGAATTTTCCCATATTTCACCTGCATTTCACATTAAAATCTTCACTGCCTTAAGTAAAGTGAATAACATCTGCACTTGCCTTTGGCTCCAACATGTTAGGCATAGAAACTCCTCTGTCCATTCTCATTCCAGGGACATGACCATCCGGGAGGGACTGCATCGGATACAGGTACACATCAGAGACGTGGGTTACACACACACAGGGTAAAGGCACTCGAGCAGTGGTGAAAACAAAGGTGAATTGACACTGAGAGCTCTGTCAGGTCTTAAGGTTAGTCATCATATAGGTCATTGCCATGGCTGCTGCTTAGCACTTCTCCGAGCTGTGAAATCCTTCCACCCCCTCCTTTGCCACCACAGTGTCTGCTCACTGCTAAGGCTGGTTAAAGCTCTCAGAAGAGCCTACTAAAAACACCTCCCAAGTGAACGAGAAGATCCCCAGGGAGTGGTAGGTCCCTTCCCACTCTTGTAACTAAGTAGAGTTCATCTCTTGACATATATACAGAAGCTTCCTTTCAGACCCCACCAAACAGCACATACGAGGTGCTCTTAGGCCTCTGTTGAACCTCCTGCCACTTAAAATCGCCAGGGCCCTCTCAGCCAAGCTTCTTTGTCTCTCTACAATGGCAAATTTTTACTATGAACCCAAAGAGGGGGAATTTGCAGGGATACTGCTTACTAGCTAGTCTGTGATGGCAGCATTGTAGAAAACTACTGATGAGCCATCTTTTTCTAGAGGGCATATTCCAAGGCAAGAACAAGTTCATGGCTTCTGGTATGGAAAAATAATATTCCTCTAGAAGACTGTTTCTCTATGAGTCTGGAGCTGGAAAAACAATCCACCCTTGGCTGTCCAGAGTGAACTGCTACAGGTAATGTGGGTATTTCAACAGACAGTGGGTTTTACAGAGGAAGTCACAGAACTGGGGAATGAGCCTTCGCACTTCAGCTCTGGGGAGGTACGAGGAGGAGTCTGAGGCTACGCCTGCTTTTTGTTGGTAAGAGTCTACATCATTGCTTATTCTTAAACATGCAGCTAAATCAGAACTAATGTCTTAAGAAACCCTTCCCTGTAGCAGAAATTTGGACTTCAGTAAGAAAGTAGATGCTTTTAGTTCTGTTGTCAGTTGATTGAAGAAAACCCGTACTCTACCTGGAAGTCTGAAAGGCAAGAGAGAAATCGCATCAGCTTTAAGGGTGTGGAATAACAGGACTGGTCACTGTCAACCAGGCAATCCTTGTGTCGTTTATCTACCATTTCAAAACCTCACCTGATTCTCTAAAGCTCTTAATCTGTAAATAGTGCATTTCTCCCAACACTGCAGTTCTCTGCCTTTAAATAAGCCTTCTCAATCAAAATAATCAAGCCACTTTGGATATATACAAATATATCATACATATAAATATACATACAAATCCTGCCTCACGTAAACAGCATGTTATTCACCTCATCTAGCCTCTGCCATCAGGTAGTAGTCTAGGCTTCCTCCACAGTCTGTAAATCAACAGAAGCATTAACTGATTTTAGGGTTTCTAAGGTTTCTAGGGTTTCTGGTCTCTCTCTTTCAAAACATTAATTGACACAAAGTTTTATAACTTTGATAAATATTAATTTTCAGTTTGTTATAGAAGGGGAAAATAGGGCAAGGACTGGCAGATCCAAGTCACAAAGCAAATCATAAGCAGTGCTGGGATTATCCTCCCTTCTTCACTGCAGCTCTTCCAGATTGTGCAGCAATTGATAATTTTCAAGGAAAGAAAACACCGTAACAGAACTCTGAATAATATTCCTAATTAGCTAAGGGTTACCTGATTTTATTTGCACCAGGGCTAAACAAGCACCAACTCTACAAAGCAGATATACCAAGATAAATCCAAACTTTCTAATGTGTAATTGTGGAGTTCAAGTAAATCATTATATTTACCAGATGATGTTAAAATGTACTGAGCAAATTCAGAGCAAACATATCCATGACTTTAAAAAAAGAACAGCTGATATAATCAAACATATGAACATATTCTGTAATAAAGTGGCATGTTAAAAAAATTCCTCAGACTTACCTCTAACTCCCCCACTCACGTCGCCGTAACTGTTGTACTGACCAAAATCTGTAGACACCGGCTGTAACAGTAAAAGGGGACATGCACATAAATTCACAGCTCCTCATTTCAGAAATGGGTTTGGTATTTTGAGAGCAACAAATTGCTTTAAGCTTTTCTCCACCCCTCATTTTTCACAGGCTTTCTTGCATTTTTAATAATCTGGTTTGTGTGAAGGGAATCTAGATTTTGTCTGACTTCAGATGATTTTATAAGTGAGCTTGATCAAACTAGAAATTCAGTACACTGAGCAGAAAAATAAATATCACAGACAATTAAAGATACTTTCTGCTTCTCAAAACTGCTATTATCCTCTTACCCTGTGAAGCCCATTTCTTCCATAGCCAGGAAGAGAAGAAGTTTTGGAAGCGGAGGCATGTGCTGTTGAATGACAAAGAGAAAATTTTGTTATTGGACAAAAGAATCCCAAAGAAACTCAAAAACAAGAACACTTGAAGAATCAACTAACATTAATAACACAATTAAAAGAGCTAACCATATACATAAGCATCTTAAGGAGAAGAAGCCCTTCTCCTTAATGGTCCACATAGTTTATAACATTTGCTTGTCCCTGTGAATCTATTAGCATATGCCCAATGTAACAGTCACTGCAATACTTTGCTATATTTGACTTCCCTCTTTATCTGTGTTAGAATTTCTCCCAGAAATTGTCTCAAAATCTTAAGCCTCATATTTCTTCTGATTAGAATAAATAAATAAATAACTCCTCCATCGCAAAACCAGCTAACGAGCTAGGCCACACTTTTCAGGGGAGAACAACATATACATACACATTTCAAACGGTCTCCTAGAACTAGCCATTGCTCATTATTAGGCCTGTTGCCTCTGTGAATTACCTGGAGAATCATAACGACTGGCAGAAAGGGATGACCTATCACGCAGTTCCTTTTCCATCTCTTCTTTTAGTATCAATTGTCCCAGACCAGAGTTGAGCTATAAATGGCAATTAAAAATACTGCGATAAAATAAAGCTGATTAAGGTATTAATATAAATTGCTTATGGGAAAAAAGGGCATTTTTGGTTGGTGTTCATAAACAGTAGTACAACAAGGTTATAATAACCTTCATGAGCTGTTCCTCCTGCAGCTGCCGGCGTCTCTGTAGTTCTTCATCTTCTTCCTCTCTTCCACTTGATCTCCGTCTCATGTCAGCTCCTGCTTCCATAAAACCACAACATGGAAAGAGCTTTTTACATCAGTTCTACCACTGTACATCAGTTCTTGAAAACTTCAATATTAAGTCAAAGTACTAATCAGTTTGCTTTACTGAATAAAGCTGGCAGTATTTTCTTGCAGACTCAACAGCCTTTTCCAAAACTCCCCCCTGAAAGAAGTTACTCATACTTGGCCCTACTGTTGTTGGGCTTCTACTAATATTAACAAGAAGCTAAGCTGTACATTGGTTCCCAACCAAGCAAAAGTCTGAGATACAAAAGCTACCCATCAACTTAATAGAGAATAGGAGTTCGGTTAACTAGCTACCAAAATACTGTGTTTAAGAGCACTGATGCATGTACCAATCACTGAAAAAAAAGCAGCTCTGATTTACATTTATGCTTTCATCTGGTCTCAGAAAAGCAAATCTGAATTATCATTTCAAGTGGAAAACATCATTATTAAATGATGTTGCTTCCCTAATACCCCTATTTTAAATGAATATGGCCTTATTTCTAGTCTAAAATGGAGCAAACTAATTTAATTGTCTTTTGGATAAAGATAAGATGAATTAAGACCACTTTACTTTTGAACAAGTGTTCTAAATTTTATTTTCTCACTTTTCATTGATTAATCTTTATTTTCTCGAACATTTATGAGAAATGGTCTAAGACACCAAGACATTTCAAAGAATATACAGACCATGCTACTGCTGAAGACAGTTAGACACTATATAGATTCCTTCTTCAGAGGCTATACCCTGAGGTAGCTGCATAACAAACTTTTGTTTGAACACTAAATTTTGGAACTAACTTATCAGAAGGTTTGCTAATAAGGGGAAAGAAAATAAGGTTCAGATAAAGCAGATCTCTGTAGTTATATTACATATTGTTTGGTGTCTCAAGTTTTCACAATAGTAGGAATATTCCTCTTTGATAGCTGAGCTCAGTTGAGCTCTGTGTGTAAAGCAGCAGACTCAACTGGATAACCAACCTAAAAGCCTAGGGCTTGAAAGTTTGCTTTTTAGTGATTAATCTTATACAGTGTCTTTTTGTTTCCAAAAGAAAAGTTGGCATAAAAACATTTTCACCTGTACAGTTTCCAAACCATCCAGTTGAGTTTCTCAGGTGTAACAAAATCATCTGAGATCCAATTTTCAAAAAACTTCTATTGGAAACAATCCAAAGTTGCCATCCATTGCCTAAAGGCTGTACTGACAACCAAAGTTTTAACGAAGCCTCCACCTCAACAACACAATAATGCTGCAGCTACCACAGACACTGTTGCTTTTAAATATCTGTATGTTATCAAAATGACTGTAAGATTTCTGAGGTTTCAAAGCTACATAAATGACACTTTCCAAAAGTCCTGGAAGTCCCCATGGTTGACAGCCATGGGTCATGTCAACACAAACCACCCTGGGCCTCCTCTCCCAGTCCCTCCATGAAAGACTTGATGCAAAGAAAGCCATAAATTTCTACACAGAAATCTGAAACAGGCAAAACTTGCAGTGTTTCCAAGGTGATTTTGTGAATGACCCAGGGCACATAGTTTACTTTATACTATATTTTACTTGGGGTCAACAAAATCAACGGAGAAGACAAATGAAGTGCAAAAAAAAAAAGTTAAGAAATGATTGTGTATGTGATTTAAAGAAACAAAATATGATACATGCAGTGCAACAACACAGAAGAAAAATATATAGTCTGTAGAAATAGTGATTCTGAAAAAACGTGACTTTTTTCGCCTGTTAACTGGTTTGCTGCAGTCATTGCTCCTTGCCACAGATATATCCATGGCCAGAAGTAATGTCATTTTTCATTAAATATTTAATATCAGTTCAGGACTACAGTACTATCTCAACAATAACTGAAAGAAGTCAGGCTTGCATGACATCATACTCTTTGTAAACTACTTCATGAGAGCTCATACAGTTTGTCTGCAAGTTAGTATCTGTGTGAACAATTCCAATGCTCTTTTGCAAAAAGTCTTTTACTTAGCCCATTTCAACAATTATAAATATATGGACACCCAGGCATTTCACCATAAGGACTAAACCTAATGGGGAAGTTATGACTGCACACAGTCCTGGCTGCTGGATCTTATAGATTCTGTATTAATCTCTTTTTGTTACCAGTACCTTTTAATCCGCATCACTTGAACCATCTTTCTTTTGCGTACCTATGGCTGCAAGGGAAGGAGGACCTGGCCAGTAGTCGGTCTCAATCTTTGGTATCTCATTGGGTGCAGGTGCATGGGCTGCTGGAAACTTGGAGGACTTGATGATATCCTCAGAAGACTTGCTCTGTGCTGCCAAAGCAGCTGCATCTAGATGGCAATCAGGGAACTTAGCTATGCAATAATCTGTATCAGTGTTAAGGTTTTTTCTTATTTTGGCAAAAAACTATGCTTTACGAGAGGTCCATTTTCAAAAGCGAACATGATTTGCCTTTTTAACAGCAATTTGAAGCAAAGAAATACCTTCCTCCTCACCTTGTGATCAAACCCTTCCTCCCTTCCCTCATCCCAACCCTCAAAGTAACTCAAATCAGCCTTGGATTTTACTAGGGTTTTACATTGTTAGAATGATTAAGCAAGAGCGAGAAAATTCAAGCTAACGGTGTGTGCCAATATCTCCTGAGGACATCTGACTATTAATAAAGTGCTCTGATGTGCTGCTTTGTCTTCCCTCTAGGGCAAGAAAACAGAAAGAGTTCAGAGGGAGAGCACTACCTTCACTAAAGCTAACTATTTCCTGTGCTTCTGTGCAAAACTGTAAAACAAAAACAAAAAAGTAAGCCTAAAGCAAACAGCTACGTTTACTTGCAATTTTTCTCCTTGCATATTTTGTAATTAACACGCAGTAATACAGGTAGATGTGAATTTATTAGTGAATACTAAAGTCCATTCAGAGTATTTCAGCAAGGAAAGGCATTTCCAGTGAAATGAGGCTCACCAATAACATAGCTCAACAGTGTGACACATAATAAGGCTCTAGCCTGAGCCATCATCTCTTAACATCATGTGTGCACACTGTGGCTTTCATTTCTTGACATACAGAAAAAATCCAAATGAATTCAGTTTGTAATAAATATAGCCTTAATTACCTCTTATCTGCAAACTACTTGTCCAAACTATGCTAATTCAATGATTTTTTTTTTTATTTATTTTAATGGAAACACATCTGTTAAGGCAGCAATGCAGAACACAGAAGCAAAAGGAGCTAGTTCTCAATAAACGATTCCTTTTTAACGTGTAAAATGTTCATTACTCAACATGAAGAATCTATTCAAGGTAGTATAAAAAGACCAGTATTAGATGTCATTGGGAATTCTAGGAATGTTAAGATTGGGAATCTCTATAATTACAAGCATGTAAGAAGCTAATCAGAGTTCACAAAAGCATGACTTCAAACAGTACTTACATATTAAAATTGGTGATGTCAGTAGTTAAACATTCACATGTTAATGGGAGGTGAGGAGATACATTAAAACCATAAAAATAAACAAAAATAATGTTAAGACTTTCTACAATGGGCATTCAGTTTCAAAACTTAAAAAGGAAAAAGGAAAAAAAAAAAAAGATGTAAAACCACAATAGTGTTGTTCTTTGGATGCTCAGTCCCATCTACAGAGAAGATTTCCCTGTACTTCCTGATCATCCATAGTCAATCCATAGACTTTCGGCCAGTGGTTCATCTAAAACAAACCATACTACTCATTCGCTACTTAAACATGAATAATTTTCACTGGAAAAAAAGAAGCTCAAAGTATTTAGGTAGTAGACACATCTATCGTTTAGCAGATGGCATATGAATTTTAGAGTTTTCTTCTTCCAGCGGAAGACAAAAGTGGACACCCTCGCATTAATATTTATAATACTTGTTCAGCAATATGAAAGACTGCTAAGGCAGTTGGCTTCTGTCTTCGTTATTTCAGCCTTGCTAAAATGACAACTACTCTGAAATTTTGGGAGTAGAGACACTATTGTTCAGTTTAATCTAAATGCTAAAAAACAGTGTATTCTACCTGAGCTCTTTGACAGGGTTTGACAGGCAAATTAGCTCTGCAAGTAGGAACTAATCTCTACTATCTTCAATAAACGGAAGATTCTTAGTGAAAGCATAAGAACATTTGATATTCCAGTCTGATGATAACATGTCCACCTTTGCTGATGAGATAAAAAATTGTACTTTTTCTTGTCTAAAAGCTGCTCTCAGAGAATGGGCTGTTGCTAATCCATTTTACCACGACGAATACCTGTACTTTGAAAATATAGACTTAAAGAAGTGAAATAACAGAAAGGCACTGCAATGCTAAAGAGACAGTAAAAACCCAGTTAGTGGCAATTTTGCTATTAACATCAACATAGCCAATGTTAAAACCATCTGACACAAATCAAACAACTTTAAAACACAATAACTCAGCAGGAATTGCAATAAAATTGGTTTAAAGTTTGGATTTCTCATTTTTAATACTCATACATTAAATTCCGAGTGTTTTATAACTTATTTTAGTTGACTGACTTGGAAATATAAATAGATCATTTACCGTGCTGTTTGTAGATTGGTGGTTTTCTGTAAATGTTGATGCCTTGATCTGTGAAATTAAGTGGTAAGAAAACTGTGAATATGGGAACTACTTCAGCTGTAGAAAAAGATAACTCCAACACTGAAACAATAGACAGACCAAATCAAGGATGTAGCACAAGAAAAAGTCAGAAAAGTAATCCTAGTTTTACAAAGAAACAGTTTATTTGATGAAAAGATAATGTAAGAACAAATGGAAAAAGTCAAAGATGTGACATGAAGTCCTTCAGAGATTATGCTGTAACATGTGGATGCATCTAAGTCATGAACAATCTATTTTAAAAATTTAGAAGATTGTTACTAGGATATAAGAATGAAAATGCAAACAAACAAGACATTTCAATGTTGAAGATACAAGCAATTTGGGGGAAAACTACCCCAAATAATTTCTGAGAGGAAATTGTGCTTCATTTGCAACAGCTCAATTTCCTCAGGCTGGTTGCACTGAGTTGAGGAGAATGCAATGAGCCTACAGTTCACTTTAAAACCCAGAGAATAAAATAGGCGTCTAATACACTATTTCAAACAGTCAATAATAGGCAGACTTCACAAAGTTAAAGGGATGCTTTACTTGACGTTAACTGATATAATGCTAGTTCTCAAACCACAAGGGCAGATCTTTCCTTTATGCTATTTTTCATTTAGATATTTTCCCACTACCAATGTTAATTAGAATAAAAACACTTCCCAGAACTCCAGTACAGTAAATCTACTGCTTGTCTAAAAGATCTGCTATTTTCCAAAACAATGATGTCTGAGAGGAAGCTGATCTAAAATGTAACTCAGAACACTTCACATATTTTGTGCAGCTACAAATACAGCAGTTAATCCAAAACTGGTGCTGCAGTGTAAAATCAAACTCAGAATCCTATTACAAGTCATGTTTCCAGAAACTGGAAAATTCATTTCAGAAATCAATTTTGCTACTTCACACTCCGTATTTTTATAAGTTACAGTAGCAAAAAGATCAAAAAACATTTTAAAAATACATGGTACATATCCCAGATCCAAATAAAGTACTAGAGGAGACAACTTCACCTTTGGCTTTAAGAAAAAGTAAACCTAAAAATCTATGGAAATAGAGGCAAATCTTACTCTACAGAACTTTATATCCTTGACTAAACAGGCAAATTCACTGCCCACACAGACACCACAGTATTTCTTTCTCATTACTGATCTATCGTGCCTTTTTGAATAGCAAATAGGTATGAACACTACAAGGGTAGCAGCATTTTTGTGCATGCCTACGCCAGAAAACTACAACACAACTCCTTCTGGGGCTGCATGGTGCCAGCTGAAGAGGACTTCTGCCCCACCAACCAATCGCAAGGATCTCAATTCCCACCAAAACGGGGAATTTTACTCAGCAGAGCTATTTGTGCAAGGACATCTTCATTTATGCAGTCAATGTGAGCCATGTTAGCGTAGGCAGCTGAACAGCCTGCCTGAGCCAAGCCAGCTCATACTGATTCACAGGGAGAGTTCCCACCAACAGTTTAGCTGAAGGATTTGAGGGAAGGAGGAGGACAAATAATCTCTGGCAGGTAAAGGGTAATGACTGAAGGTGGCTTGAGCAATAACTGGATATACTAAAGCTTTCAGCCAGCACCAATGCAGACAGAAGATGCATGTCCATGGCCTGAGGGATACGTACCCCTCTTCCCATCAAATGGGAGACAGAAGAACAGGGGGATCTTCTCACAGAATGGCAAAAATGTGCAGCTGACTTTAAACATATTGCCCTTCATAGAGAGAATATCCTGATTCACATATATCCTTGCAGATCTGCAGGTCTCTCTGGGGACATCAAGTCAACGTATAGAACAAGTCCTCACCCAGTTAAAAGAAAACAACACTAACCTAGAACTGTTTGCTTTGAGACTGAAGCAGGTCACAACAGGACAGGCAATGGCCTGTGTGTATACTTGCTCACAGTGAGCTCTTTCCTGCATGTCACTCTAAAAACCAGTCCCCCCAAAGGCAGCAGAGTTATGCTCGTGCAACTGGGAGAAGAATCGGGCCCTACATAATTCACATCCAGCTCACATTCTGCTAACAGACCCTGAAAAACATGACGTTTTAACAGTGAAACAGCCGATTGACAGAGCAAGGCAAAAACTATGATGCATCCCCAAAGCTTAACACAATCCTGCCCTGAGCAAGCTCGGGAGCAGGCAGTTCCCAACATCGCGTGCGCACCCCACGGCAAACAGCGTGAAACATGGAGACAAGACACAAGTTACATAGTCTACATTCTACACTGTGACAGGACACCGAGACACACACAGTGCCAGCTCCTACCTGGAACATGGAAATGTTTAGGGGCCTGAGCGTAAGTTGGAGTGAGAGGGCGACTGTCTGGTCGATAGGGGACAGGGGAGTTCCGACCGCTGGACGGCTCATTGCCTCCAATGAAAGAATGGAGAAAACAAAATGAGAAGAGGGAGAGCAATCAAAAAGGAAAAAGAAAAAAAAGCAAGCCCAAACCCAACCAAAAATCAGCGGAAGCAAAACCTCCAGGGAGGAAAAGAAGTTTGAACCAAAAATATAAGTGCAAGCAATAACAAGATCTGGTCGCCCTGCTGACTTTGCTTTCTGATATTCCTGCAGAGACAAAGCTTGGTGTTTAGGCTGGAGTTGAGTCTTAGCGGCTCCTGCTCATTCTGGCGCATGCAGCTGTGTGCTGGCAGCTGGTGGTTAGATGGACAGGGTGAGAAAGAAGAATGGAAGGTTACTTGACATGGATTTAGTATGGAGACTGACATTTGGAGTTAAAAGTCACAGGCATGGAGCATAGTAATTCATAAGCAAACTCAAAACAAAACCAACTCCAAGCAGGTAGAAGCAGATGTTGGCAGCTACTACAGCACCCTAAACCAAAAGATCACAGAAGCTAGAGATGGAAAATAGCTGTTAGGTCACTCGGCCCATATCGCAAGGCATAACTGTTCCTTACACACTCATTCATTGGTGCAGATCTTTGATAGTAAATTTTGGATATCTCATGGAAAAATGATGTGTAAAGGAATGAAGCCCACCTGGTTGTAGCACCATGATCATTGGTATGACCACAAATCTCTCAACGCCGAATTTTGCTCTGATAACAACATTTCATGACTGCTGATTCAGAAAACCTAGATCTAATGTCTAAAAAATATCTATTTATAAGACTAACCTTATCTTATCAGAACTATTTGTTTGCTTCCTAGTACCCAACCATATTATGCCCTCTGCCAGCAACAGAGGGCTGTTACAAAACCAAGTTACTTGTTGATCACAAGCATGAAGACTCAATAGCCAGATTGTCAAATACAGGACTGCATATATATATATTATAAACAAATGATGCTACCTTTTACTTTGTGCCATTCTTCAAACTAGTGCAAACTGTCACAAGCAGGAACAGTCTACCTAAATTCTCATTTTGCATGCATGTAAGTGACCACAAAGATGAAAGATAGGGGAGCATCAAATCCTTCAATTTTGCAGATATTTAGTAGAACTTATTAACAAAGCAAGAAAAAATAAGGAGACAAGCACAAGTGGGCTATAAAACACAAGAGAAAAGAATCTGAAGCTGCAATTCTTTCAGCTGCAGATTTCCTGTATCCCAACAGAGGGTCCGAAATCCCTGATTTGGCTGCTGCTTATTTGTATATTTTGGCAAGTGGGCAGGGAGAAAATACTCTGCACACTCTTCCTCTTTTACTAGAGGGGCTGTCTGTTAATCTAAAAGGCACTAGGAGGGCAAAACAAAGCTCTTTACATATCTTGATTTGCCTGCTTTGAGATAGTAGTCAAAGTGGATATTTATTTTTTCTCCTTTTCCCAGAATATGAACATGTTACTTTTACAAGTTTCTATCACCAGCTCTGCAGATACGTGGAAGAGACACAATTCCTCTTCATTTCAGCTATTAGACACAAACAAGTCCACTAACATATGACAGCTAATCTCAAATCTGACACACTGATAGAGAGAAGTTTTAATGTTATATAATGCATAAAGTCACAAGTAGCTTGGCATCATCCTGCACATATTGGTTTAAAGATATTTTTGTTGCATTGTATTTCCTGGAGTTCCTGTTCAGTGTCCATCTTCCTCATGATGCCAACCAGTACAGAAAAATGACATTTCTTCACACTTTTTAAGTTCTCAGGCTCTTTAACAGGAGAGAATGGTACATCTAACTTAGACTCTCGTTGAATGACTCCTGATGATCACTCTCATAAGGAGGTTGAAGGGCTCCAGAAGCAGCTGTAAAAGCACCCACTAAAGGTCATAAAAAAATAAAATCATGAATATAATTCTTTCAGTTTGCTTGTATTCCTTAAAAATCATTACAAGTTATACAGAAAACTAAAATGTTTTCTTCCTAAAATACTAAATCTTTTTCTATTTTTTTTTCTTTTTGTATTTGTTTTACTGAAACAAGACTATAAAGGCTGTGTGGAAGTGCTGTAAGGTTTCAGTTTATCCAAATATCTATTTTTCAATTAAAGAAAAAAGAAAAGATAAGTCTCAACTTTGCTAAGAAGAGCTGTCCAGCTTTATCTTGAACAGCTTTAAGGCATCAGTTGCAATTCAGTTACATGAGCACACTAGGAACATCATTCTAGAGTTTGCTTGGATTTTTTGGGGATTTTGGTGAAAATTGGTACTGCCTTGAGTCTAAAAAGATCTCTAATAAGTAATACAGGTTTGACTGGCATTTTCTGGACTGTAGACTGTGTCTAAAGGTCCAGAAGAAGGCTAGCAGTTGTGAGTCCCTCACCCCAGCACAGCAATACAGCCAAAAGAGACAGCTCAAGGTCTCTCAGAAGCCCAGGCAGACTGAACTCGGATACATCTCAGATGATACGGGGCTGGTACAACTGAAAATAGGAGAAGCTGATAGGCCAGAAAGCTAAAGATCCCTAAAGATTTTAGTCAACTACTGCTGCTGTTGTAAGAGGAATAGAGAAGGTGTGTGCAATGACAGCTGCTACTGAAGTGATGGCAGTATTTTCTGTCCTATACACCAGATCTCACAGATGACACCATCTGTGTTTTTAGGCTTGACACAGGCAAAGGACTGTCTAAGCATGTGTCCAGTTTAGATTTGATCCTTTCTTCTTGAGGATGAGGGACCCTGGTACAGAACCAATCTGGAATCAAATCCAATGCAAGGATCCTGGGAGCATCCCACTGCCCACCTCTGGGGCTCCTGCAGCTTTAGCTCCAAGCTACGTGAGAGATCTCGACAAGGCCACCCTGTCCCCTTTCCCCGGGAGCTGCCTTTAACCTAAGGTCCTATTGCTGGGCCTTGCTGGAGCTCTGGCTTTGTCACAGCCATGTCTATACCTGGCTACCGACCTCCTTGATCCAGACCCCAACGTGCGGCCTAGCTTCCTGGCTGGGCCTCAGACCTGCCTCATCCACATGGATGTGAATGGCGACCACTGGTCTGTGTCAGCATCACCAGACCAGGTCCTAACCCTCATTAATCAGACTCTAATAATCAACACAGAGAAGTGAGCTCAGCAGCACTTGAAAGCCTAAGGCCCTTTAGGTTTTATCAAGTCACCACTCATCAACTTGCCCAGATGTGTAGTCCGTATTTTCTACACAGAACAGAAAGCCCTAGAACAGCCAAAGCGTGGTTGTTTTCCAGAGCAGAGTTCTCATCTCCATCTGCAAAACTCTGGCAATAGTTATCACACACGCACAGAGTGCTGGATTTCAGAGACCTGCCTGAGGGGAAATTATGTAAGCAAAACAGCAATCTGTGAAAACCAAGCCCAAAATCACTTTGAAAGTGGGCAGAGTCATTATGGAAATGTCTGTGAGCAGAGAAATGCCTCTTAACTCAGAGCTCTTTTTACTCAGAAATCTTATGGAGTCTTTTCAATATTTTTGAACGCCTCTGAAAAAATGTAGGCACGTGACATGAAATTCTGGCTTTAAATGAGAGCTCTGTCTTTGAGATCATTAGGGTCATGGTTTCTTTCATTCACAGACTTGTTTTCACCCTTTCATTTCAGAGACAGTACATAATTGAGACAAGCCCAAACTCAATGGACCAAATTCAATCTAAGTCTAAGCTGATGGATATTGCACTCTCTTTAGTCCTTTACACATATATGTTACATGAATGAACTTTCATTAAGACTTTCTAAGCAATATTTAGTCCCTTTCCTCCTCAGAGGTGGTCTTTGAGTTTGGTCTTCTAAACAGGGCTTGGTTATTACGATAATTTAACTGAGCTTTAGGTAAACACACTGAAACCTGTCCAAATATCAACTTTTCTGGCTTGATGATATAATATACACTGAGGTAACATGTCATATACTGCTTTTGTTATCATTATGCTGTTTGGAAATCACATGCTCTAGCGAGGCAGTTATGGCATGATCCACATTCTGAGTCCTAAAGAAAAATTAGGTCTTTCTCAAGCCCCGGCCTTAAAAACTTACACACAGTTCACCTCCTTGCCAAAGGCACAAGTGACTGGAAGAGGATGACCAAGCACAAAGGAAATCACATGAGGCCGTTTCTTTGAATCAGCACAAATGTATCACATCTCCTTATGGATAACAACATCAAGGAGCCCTTAGATGCGGTCAGATCAATCATCTCTGCTGCACAGATTAAAGAAAACACGTGTAATAAACAGGGAGAACACTGAAGAACCATGTGGGATACTGAGATCAACCCCATCAGTGGATAAGAGAGTATCTACTTAGAAACATCAACAGTGAAAGGCAGATATGATATAGTGCAACTGAACTTCACCCAACACTATCTGAATGTCAAAAACAACTAAACAAACCCTGGAATCATACACTAGGCAAACTATATTATCTCTTCCTATGAAAATGTACATACATATGTGCTAGTGCTTATTGAACCTCTTTTATATAATCTCTCCCTATAATGTCTTTCTTTAACTGCATGGGCACTGGTGGTGCAGAAATGCTTACACATCGGGTTGGACTCGATGACCTCTGAGGTCCCTTCCAACCTTCGCCATTCTATGATTCTATGATACGTGTGCTTTTGGACTACATTTGATTAAGAACTATCTTCCATCATAATCTCTTTTGTTTTATAGGGCAAGCCAGAGCTTTGAAACAGTATGAGTCTTTGTCTTACATTTGGGTTTTGTGAGCACTTAGCTGATTCACATTTATATGATGGACAAATTACACAGGACTTCAGGCCATTTTGACCTAAGACAATAACCTGTGTGCCGAGTTCACTTTACATGTGTCATCTAAAACAAATATCTTGGATAATTTATTCTAGCTATACTGCCTTTGCAACAATGAGAGAATTTATACAGATGTCTAGTTCAAAATGTGCTAGTTCAATTACCAACCCCTCCATTCAAACATGTTGCCTTGTGGGTGGCATTACAGGTTTTAAGACAGTAGGAAGCACTATAACCCTCAAGCTTCAGGCACAAGGACTAATATCTATGAGAGTAGGTTAAACATGCATATTTTAAGGAAAAGGCCTTTATAACAGCAGAAACTGTATCAAAGAATCCCGTCCAGGCCTAAGCCCTTTATGTAAAATTTTCAAAAAGTGGTGGATTCTTAAAATTTTATATGCATATCTACCTGAAAAAATACATACCCCTCCGTTTCATTACAGTACCTGTAATCCTATTTGGCCACTTGTATTGATAACTGAACCACAAACCTAATCTTCACAACAGGTGCCCTTCTGAAATCTGAAATAATATACATGGATTTCAAAGAGCTCTACTCATACATCTGTTGAAGAAGCTAATTTCTCAACAAAAAGGGGATGAGAATGCCACTTGAAGGAAGGTGAGCATTAATTTAAATTTACAGCAAAAAAAGACTGAATTGCAAAGTTTATGGATTAACTGCATGCTGAAATGAGCATTGTATCTATTTTTAAGGGTCCCATTCAAGTTCAAAGTGACATCATAGGAAAGTTAAAAGTGCATATTATTGAAAATAATCAGGTAAAATGCAAGAGTAAAATTAGTAATGGTGATCTGAGTGTTTAAAGAGAAAAAATGTTGAAAACCATTAGCATTTCTTGAAAGTGCATGACAACCTCTTTGCAACTGTTTTTCATGACGTCTAGTGCTGTCTGCATTAATCGATGGTTTCAGAACAGGAGCTACGCCCAGTTTACTCAACTGCTTCTTTTTGAGCTCTTGTAGGTAACGGAAACTATGACCTTCTTCCCCAGCAGAAGAGAGGGCAAAGCCAGAGAGTGCTCCAACACAAGCAAAGGCAAAAGCACCTTCACAGAAAGATGAAAAAGAACTAAAAGTTTAAGGAGCGCAATGAGCTCTTTGAAGGATCAGAGCATGATAAACCTCCCACCAAAAATCCAACCATGAAAAGTAAGATAAAGAAAAAAAACAGAAAGGATGAGATCCTCAGCGAGTAGAAATCACGCAACTCTACTGTCTTCAACAGAATGTGCTGATTTCTCACTAGTTGAGGAGAAGACTATCAATTACATTTTGTTTGTGGTGCTAATTATTGCCAATATAACTAATAATGATGAATTTTCCTGTTGTTATTGATCTTCATACAATATGAATTTTGGGGGAGTGTGTTTTGATCACCGTAGTTCCATCTGGGCAGTATTTCTCATCTTTTTCTAACTTCATGCTTTAAGAATGTGGAAATTTCAATCAAATCTGATATATGACTTGTTGTATGGATTGTCATGTACTGCTTTAGCAAGAAGCTAAATTAAGCACATCTGTGCTCTAAAGAGTAAATGAAAATGCTTTCCTGTGTATTTCTGATAGTAATCACTTAACGACTCTTCAACTAGGGCCCTTAGAAATGACATATTTCCTCTGAGAAAGGACATTATGTCCACTCTACGATTGTGGCGAGCGCAAGGGCACGTTTCGAGGCATGCTCAGCTTCATGGTCGGCCAACGAGGACCTCATGGAGATGCCCCTTAGTAGCTCTGAGAGATGCTAAGAGCTCTCCACTCCGAAGGGTGCTCCCTGGAGAGGCCTGGCTCCTTACCTTTGGCATGGGGCATGAAGTGGTGTCGGAAGGGGGAGTTGGGGCGGGAGTCATGGTGAGTGGAGCTGACGCTGCTAGTGCGCAGGTGTGACAACCGCTGCACACCAGGAGAGAGCAGCTCTGCGGCAGCGGCAGGGAACCGGGGGGCGGGACGAGATGAAAACAAAGAAAAACAATAAGAGAAAGGCAGGGGAGGAGGCTTCAAAGGAAGGAGGGAGGAAAACAAAACAAAACAAAACAAAAAAAGCATTCAACAATTAGGATTCTGAAAAGCAGGAAGGAAAAAAAGGGTTAAAAGATGTACAAAGGGTTCATAAATGTTAGACAGTTATAGGAAGTATTGAAAATAAGCTCCAGTTAGTTATCCATGGCTACTATAGCGTAACATTCATTGGCTTCGTGAGCTTCTGCCCTATGCCTTTTTATTACAAAGGAGCCTGCACCACCATGCAAACCCGGCGAGCAGCGGCGCGCCCGTCGTTCAGAAAGGAGCGCGGTGAGAGTCCCCGCGCAGCGGCCCGGGGCCCGCGAGCCGCCGCCTCGGCCTGCAGCACGTTCCCCACACGCTGCCAACACCCGTCGGGGCGCTCCGGGAGGAAAAAGCTGCAGACTTCTTCAAAAAGTGTAACGCCCAAGGTGGTAAAGATCTAAATAATGAACTCTATAGAATTACTTCTGTGTTGTATGAGAAACAGAAACAGGTGAGTCAAGGATGAGATCATCTGAACAGTGATAAGCTTGAACAAAAATCTTCCCAGAATATCCCACAGGCTGCAAACTTTGGAGGATTTCAGATGTGGATCCAAACTCTGTGGCTTGGACCTATCTGTGCATTAGCAGGATTATATAAACTGAGACTGCCTCTGAGGAAGGCCCTTGACTGAACAGAGACAGCACGAGTCAGAAGTGCTGAAATCTGGAACAAGGCCTGGATTTGTTCATATCCCTGATACAACCGATAAACGGGAAAATCCCTGCAGAACTGCCAGAATCAGGACAGAGAAGTTTGCAGCTTTTTCGCACTTTGTCAGTCTCCTTTGGTTTTAGCTATCGTGTCATCTCAAAACACAGCCATGTTGTCAGCGCTAAATATCAGACACAGTTTGCTTCTGTCCCTCCTCCCCTGGGTCCATTAAATAAAGCATTCACTGGCAGACACAATTAGCTGCTTTCAGCCCACCCCCGCTAGGAAATGGCTACAGCATTCAAGTTCCACAGTGGTGGCTCTACAATAAATCTTTAATTTAAAAATGCAGCTCCTATTGTGCATGGGGCTTTGGCATCCCAACCATTCATCTGTAATCACCAAGATGGAACTGCAAGATTGCAGTACTCAATTGAAAAACAGATCTCAAAGATTTGGTTAATTAGTATAAAGAATAAGATCCAACTTGAACAGTAGTCAGTGAACAATGTTGAAAGATACATTTTTAATGCATTTGCATGTGGATGAACAGTCCAAGTTCATGTATTACTTTCATATATACAACCAGTAATTTTGAATGCACTGGGAATCTGAACGCCCTATACATTTTCTATAGTGTACATGCAACTTGATTACTCCTACAAGAATAACTAAAAAATATATTTTTAAAAACTTAACTTAGATATACTTAGCTAAGTAACTTCCTTAGTAACTTACTTAGCTAAGCTACTTACTTAGCTTAAGATTCTAGTTGAAAAAATAAATAAACTCTCTGGGTTAACTACAAGCCCATGTTTTTCAAGATGACCAGCAATTTTGAATATCTGGGTTTTTGGGTGCTTGACCTAAGATCCCTTGGCTGTGCCAAGCTTTAAAAGGGAGGTATCCAGCACGTCCTGAAAAGATGGCCCATCAAAAGGGAGGAATCCTACATTAGTTATTTTTGAATAGTCAAGCTACAACTTTTTGTTTTTCCTCTGAAGACATGATGCTTCCCCAGATGCCAGAATGAAGTTCACAATTCACCACTACAAATTGCTGCTTACTTTCAGAAACATGCAAACATTTAAAAAATTAATTAAAAACAAACCCAGAAGATCGCTATTTATGATATAAGGCACACTCACTAATCTACTGCAAAAGGTTGCTTTAATTAAAAGAATAAATAAAAGTAGAAAAAAAAGGACATTAAAATATGTAACAATTTTCCAATTCTATGTTTCACTCCTAAGAGAAGCAGCTGCTTCTCCGTGCCATTCAGTGACATAATAAAGTAGCAGTATTTTAATGTACACTTGCAAAGCATTTGCCCTTACCAGGTCTGTGGAAATGCTGGGGGGACCGCGACATGGTGGGAGTGTAGCTGTGGCGACTGTACACGGGAGAGTTAATAGAGCCCTGACTAGTAGATCTGTGAATCATGCGATCCCGAACGTCCTGATAACCCTGCAGGACAGAAGCATTTCAAAAGAATTCACTAATACAGGTAAATGCACCTTTATGCAGTTTTTAGCAGCATTTAACTTTCATGGATGTGAAGGCATCAAGAGAAGCTACTGAAACTAAGACATCCCTTAAGCTTTCAACCTACTTCAGTATTACTGTGGGTTTTTTTTTGATTTTTTTTTCCTTCCTAAAATGATCTCTATGAAAGATCCCCATCATCAGGGTTCTGTCATGGAAGGTCCAGATCACACATGTCCTTCTGGGTAACTTCTATTAATTTCTGTGCTATCCCACATTTCCCCATTCTTTTGACTCCTTATGGGATGTGTGTTCACAGAAGCCCATCCTGTAGCTTACAGCAGAGATGAACGAGCTAGTCTTCAACTAGCTAACTTGGAGCCATTAAAATTTAACAGCTGCTGCAGAGTGCTCTGTAGCTTAATCTACCTTCTTTTCTCAACGAGCTACAGGGTTTTCGTATCCAAATTAGATACCCCTTGCATCTGAGAACACGACCCCTGCTCGCAGAGTGAAACACAGTTTACTTGGTCTCTTGTGAAAAAACAAAACAAGGCAAATGAGGCAGAACAAATGGGACAGGGCTGCATGAAAACATGGAACTTGCTTTAGAGTAACCTTTTACATGCAGCAATCAGAGTGACTTCTGGTTAAACAAGCAGCTGTTCCCATTCCCAGTAATACTTATGCAATGGCACCTACACAATTCTGACAAATGACAAATTTAATGTTACTGCCATGTTCATAAAAGTCCCTATGGGCTGGGAGGAGAAGCAAGGCCACAGTTATGCTTTCTTCAGGACAGAATATTGGTAATTCAAAGCTTCAGTAGCAACCATGGCCTATTATTTAGATGCTTTGAGCAGCATTTTGGGTCATGTAAAGTTGGATCCTGAAGCCTGAGTCCCTGTTCATACCAAGAAACATGAACACACAAGAAGTGACCTCTGCTGGACAAAAGCCTCTGCTTTGCAGAAAACAACAGCTTAGTGTAGTAGTTTCATTCATTGCATAATCTGTCAATGAGAACTTGATGCTTTCTTTTTAGATTTTTATTTTCCTTAATCTCTAATTATCAGAAAATATGTCTCTGCAGCAGAGATGTATCAGACTGGTAACAAAAATCAACGTTTCATTCATAAAATGAGTAACTAGTCACAGCAACATACTGTCCCCAAAGATTCCACCCAACTTACTTCTGCAGAAGGGGTAGGAGACAATGTCCTTGGAGACTGCAAAGACATAAAAAATAAGGTTACAGAAGCATCCTCATATGTGTTGGCCCAGAAAACGGCAATCTGAACATTGCTGCAGATACCCACATACACAGCAGTATAAAACGACAGTGCAGACATAACTGAGATCATTATAACAGTCAGAACTTATTTTTCTACATTGCTCACGTACTGCTCTTTAAGTCATTGAAGTAACTTAAGTTTCTGGGAGAAATATGAGTAAGATTAATTCAGTCAGATACTATGCAACCAAATCTCTTAGCCATCTAATCATTATGGTAATTAAAACAGAGCTGTAAAGATCAAAACCCAAAAGAGTTATTAAATTAATAACTGTTCCTGTTGTGAAGAAAACTTTAAAGTGGAAATCAAAAGTAAATAGTCTCAACTCAGGGCTTTGCATAGTGTCAGGAATACAGAAAAAAATCCAGAATGAAGCACATTCCTCCTCCAACACACACACTGTGGCAATATCTGCTCCCCCTCAAGGCCTTACATTTCACACACTATCCTTACAAAGCAGTAAACAGTTGCCATTAACATTTCTTTGATGTGATAGCTCTTTAAATCAGCTATGGGCTCTCCTGTGCAAGGAGAACAGACAGGAATTACAAGCCTCTAAATTGGAGGAACTATGTAAAAGCAAATGGGAATTATACTTACAAATAGCTTCTACTACAGAGGCAGGGAAACTGAGGCATGAAATACTTCTTAGAAATGATGCATAAGGGTCATACATTACCTGGTAGTACAAACAGGACTACAACACAACAGGACTTGTGTGAAATGTATGCAGAATTTCTGGTAATAAATGGCCACCTACACAGCAGTGAGAGACCATAAAAGAGGCTAGTGGCACTGGGAATGTACAGCATCCAAACCAAGGAGAGACATCTTTAGCTTGGGTATAAAACATCTCCTTTTGAGCAATAAATCTTTCTTTCAAAAACTTGTCCCTCAATCATCATTCTTGATTTCCTAATCAAACTAGTGCTAGAGAAAAAAAACACTGAATAGCAGCAGCCTGATGCTATAAACTTCACTGTCTCCATGGATTATATCACATACAGTGCTTTGTAGCATCATTCTCTACAAAAACAATGAAATAAAACCTAAAACTTGCAACAGAATAGCACAGTTTGTGATGGGTTTCCCTGTATTTTTCTACAAGTAATTTAAATATTTAATTACATATTATAAATAAACCAATTTTCATAACCTGCTGTGATTATCTAGCTGTTATGCTAAAGTAAATAGTTGATGTGCATTGTAGTCACAGGACTGAGACTGAAAAGACATCCCACACAGTGACTTGATTCCATGACTAACCTTTCACGGGGTTCTTCTTCCCCACTGACTGGGGATGCATCTTGGTGCTTTTTTGGGAAAGGAAACCATATGCTACAGCCGACGTGCTGTTTATCACACCCAGGTGAACTCCCTCATCTCAAACTCTGAGCTTGCCAGGGAAAGTGGGGTTCTTGGCTGCTTGTGAGGTCTTCTGAAATCTGTTCTATCACAGAAGTTTTTACACTAGCCACTTTGAGACAAACTTTGCAAGAGAAGTGAGAAGGATAAAGTCACTTGCAGGAGAGCGACCCAGTGAAAACACAAAGGGATAGCTCTGGATTGAAAGAAAACAAAACAAAATCCGCCTTTGACCAAATTTATAGTCAAACTCACTGCAACAGGCTCAATGTTCTATTACTTTTAAAACTGAAGGGACCGCTCAGATAATGGAAATCCAACAGATCCTTCTGCGCTCTGGGAATTTTTGGCAAACACTGTTTTGGCCATATTTACAGGTGTCACTTCATAACAGGAGCTCCAGCATTTCCCACGGATCTCATTTTAACATCCTTTAACGTGGCACGAGGTCGGGTGCTTGCTCTACTTCGAAGCATCTCTCACGTCAGCTTGTTTTCAGGAGGCTGTCAAAGACATTCAGTGCTTCCAATAGACAGGATGCAGATAACACAAAAGTCAGAGCTGAAAAAAAGATCCGATTCCTGCGCTGGTCTGGTTTCTGGCAGGCCAGAAGTAAAGGACCTGCTGTCCTGTCACCTAGATGGCAGTTGTTGAAAAGTTTATCAGTGCAATAATTGTCTGCCTCCATCGGAGAAAGTTTATTGGGGGATCTCAAGAAAGCAGAACTTCTGAAACAACCCGAGAGCAAGCGGGGACTCCCCCATGAGCTTCACTTTGCCCGTGTCTGCTGGGGCATCTCCACGGCCTCGAGCGCATCAGCTCCCGCTAGATGGTGCTGCTTGAGAACCTTTTTCAGCACAGACTTCCAGAAAAACAGCGCGGATTTATTTGAACATGAGAGGCTGTCGGCAAGGAGCTCCCCAAGCGGTTTCCTTTTTCACTGCAATAAGGAAAAATGCCCATTGCTGTCCCTTCTCACCTTCCACGGCTGAAGTGTCCCTGCAATCCGGGCATGTCCTCACCAGGTAAATTTTGGCAGCTCTTGCACATTTCTGGGGGACAAGTTAGAGCTCAGGTTCCTTTTTTGCTTAAGGCCACCGCACGCACACATTTGGCAAAGGGAATGAAGATCAAATCACTCAAAGGTTTAGTCTTCCCAAACCTTATCACAAAACTCTCAGGGTCCCAGAAGGACAAACAGTTTCCCAACACTTGCTGAGACAGGATTGAAGAAAGTGTGACGTGATCTTGAAGTAAAGTAGCTTCAGACAGGACACACCAACTGTGATCAACTTCAGAGTATATCAACCTGTATTTGTGCTCCACTCGTCTGGTCCCTTGGGCCTTTGTCCCAAACATGAATTAAATCTACGGTGAAAGCCTAGCCCAAATTCTTCCTTTGCTTGCTTCAGCAAAATAAAGCATGAATTCTGAAGTCCTTGGGAGCTGCCTTTGCTAGGGACCACCTTAGCCCCCAGAAAAAAGTCTGTATAAATTGCACTCCACAACTTTAAAAAGTGATATTTAATACTCCTGGATGGATCTGTATGTAACCTAACCTATCACTGTTTAGATAACATTTTAAAAAATAAAACAGGCAGTTATTACACAATTAACTCTCTGAAGCATACATGGCTGCAACTATAACCGCAAACCATTAATCCACCCAAAAGGCTGTAAACTTGGCTCATTCCTCAAGGTCTGCGATTCCATGGCATGCTTAAATATACAATCTCCTTTGGTTTTTAGAGACGATGGTGACTGATGCAATCTGTACTAAGATCCAGGGGTCACTGGGTTTACCACAGTACAAATACAAACTACAAGATGGGTCTGCTCCAGAAGGGCTTGTGTTCATTAGGGCAAGGGACAGGAGGAGAGACAGGTACAAAGAGGTGAAGTGACTTGCCCAAGGACACAGAAATCATTGGTAGTATTTTGTGGACAACTCAGATCTCCTGAACTGAAGGTGAGAGCCCTTTTGTTCCATGTAGCTCTATCACAACCAAACATAACACTGGGGAAACTATGGAGTAGGAAAAATTCAAAGATCTTGCTCCCCTCCTGCAATGCTGTAGGCATTCCAATATACTGCTTTGTTAGAAGGCAGTTGACTTTAGGATTAACAATTTTTCTCTGAGCGGGATTAGTTCCTCTTCTGTGACCAGCTGCAGAATTACATCTGTAGGTGGTTCTGTGAAATGGCTTAGAGCTGTTAGAGCTGGTTAGAGATCGCCAGTGCATCTCACAGTAGTTTCCAACCAGATGTCAGCTGGATTGGCTGCTGACCTGAATTTGGAACTGGAACCATACTAGAACCATACTAGAAGTCCATTGCAAATATAGACTATTTGAGAAAACTAGAGAAGCCCTACATCCTGAAAGGCATCTTAAATACGTATTTTAAATATATATTTAAGAAAACGTATCACATGATATTGTTGCAGGATTAAAGATGGCAGCAGTCTAAAATGGGAGGCAATTATTTCCACACTGCAACCAACCAGCCTTTCCAGTCCACACAGACCTATTACATATTTTAGCCACTATGCCTGACAAGCTGCTCTGGAAATACTTTCCTGCCTGATATTTGTGAGTGAGCCCATCCAGCTGCTATTAGTGCTTTTCTTGTCACAGAACTTCATGACATTCCTCACGCTGGGCTGCGTGTAGCAGTGCTATAAGCAACATGCCAACATCGGGCACAGCACTAGACTGGCTTTTGCCTCATGATCTGGATGTGGCTGTACCCGAAGACCAGAATATTGATGTGAGTTAGGAGGACACACCAACAGCCTGTACCCCCACTCCTCTGCTAGTGGCTGATGGAAAAAAAAATGTAGTTCTTCAGTTCTGCAGCTTTGCACCTAAGGCATCACCATGATTTTTCCCTTCAAGCCTCCATCAAATAGACAAAAAGCACCTTGAACAGCGGCAGCAACAGCACTATCAATTAGAAACTATTTCAAAAGAGAATAGAAGCATAGCAGGCTTTGAATAAAGCTTATAGCAGAATGGCTTGCTTGTCATTTCATTACCTCTCCAAGACTCTGTCTCTCCTGTCTGTCCTCGTAGGCGGAAGTGTAGAATGGCTCATAAGTAATTAGGTCTGGACGTTCAATGTCATAAATGGCCTTGACTTTGGGAATGGCTGCTAAATCCTTGTAATCAAGGATCTCATTGTCTACTTTTGCCTAAAGGTCAAAGACAGAAGACAAATTAACTTACACAAAAATAGTAGTAGTTTCTATTTTATACAACTTATGTTTTTAGTGTATTTGCTGTCACCCTGTTGTTAGGTTAAACCTTTTTGGGCACTTTTTGTTAATACGCAAAGTAACTGTTGCTTGCTGTCCTCCAGCAGACCTCCTCTTCAAAAGCAGTGTCTTCTGGGTTCAGGAAAGAAAAAACATCGTCTGTATAGATCTAACAAATATTAACAATCCCCTGTACTAAGCTGGAAATCTCAGCTCTTCAAATTACTCATTTTGTGGCCTCAGGCAAGTTTTTTCACCTCTCTGCTTTTGTTTGCCCATCTGCAAAATATGTGATAACATCACCTTAGTTTGCAGATCACAGAGATTACAAAGGATTCCATGCAGAAGTCTACAGACAGAAAGCCAACCTGTAACTTCACACACGAGAGGATGTACAACTGAACAAAAGGAAACAAAAGGCCAACAGGATTAATTGTCAGGAAGAGGTGTCAGACTCCCAACTAAAATCATTATATCATCCTCACCACCCAACCTATATCCATTCTTTGGCTAAAGCATATGTTGCTTGTTATATAGTATAGGTCTAACATTACCTATTTTTCACACTAAAACTGCAAAGTCTTGACTAATTTGGATCTGGAAGCTTTAAGTACGAAACTGGCTCCAGTGCTGCACCCATCAGATGAAAAGTGGTGCTACATTTGTTTTAAATAATTAACCTTTCCTTTCATTTAAAAGAACATTTGCTTAAAAAAATTTATACATTCTTACCTGCAATACATCATGTCTCTGATCATTAAAATACACAAATTCCTTTCCAACTCTCCTACCAGATATATAACAGTGGTGGAAGTTGGCCCTGTACTATCTCCTCTTCCCAACATACCTTGTTCTTGATCCCCTCATAACGGGTTCTCTTTCTCTCACTAACTTGCTTGCCTGTGATTTCCTTCCTTGGCTGTTATCCTCTGCTTCTGCTTTGGATTTTGTGCAGGTTATCTCTGAATGTGATTTATATGAGGACTCAGGTTATATGGACTTTCAAGGAAAAGAATGGGATGTGAGTTTTTGAAAGGGTAGGTAACTGCATTAAAAAGAAATCAAATTTGAGGAGTTCTATTATTCACTCAAGACTTCTCTATCAAGAAAAAAAAAGAAGGCACAAACTGTTACAACATGACATTCCTGAAGATGCATGATAAACAGAAAAACATTACTCCTTTAAAAATTTTGGGCCAACCTTATACTAAAGTATTCTAATCTCTAATTTTGAAGAACTCATGGGCATTAATAAAAAAGCTAAGAAGTCAAAGAGATCATCTAAAATACTGAAATAGGAAGTTGGGTTACTGGAGGAATCTTACAATCCTTTAAATCTCAAATAGCTACAAATAAAGTGGTATAAAAACAGTGCCTTCTTTCAAGCAGCATTATATTATTAACAGAAAAATCCTCACTATCCTTTTCCTTCAATTCAATGAACTCTTCAGACCACCAAAACCCTTTCCAATCCTAGCCAAGACATCCTTCAATGTGGATGTTGCGGGCAGCAGACCTTTCAAAGGCTGCATATTGAAGGGTAAATATTTTGCCACATAACTTCAAATTCTATGCACACTGAAATGACCTGTCCTCCTGTCTTCTATATCTCTTCATATCATCAACAGTGATCAAGTCTTTCTAAAGAGAATGTGGCCTATGCTGTTCTCAAAACGTTGCAGTGATACATACTCATCTGTTAAAATAACAAGAATTTTGTCAATTTAACCACTGGAATGGAGGAATTAGTGTTAAGTGTCAAAGTGATTTACTTCAGTATTTCATGCCTACAACCAAAGTATCAGCACCTTATTCTTCTGAAGGAGTACTTACATAGATAGTATGGCCTGGTGAGCCAGGTATACTGGAACCTGGTCTGGAATAAATACTTTCTGATGATGTTCTTGTAGGCTGAAAAACAAACAGGGTAATTTCTCAGAGATACTTGAAGCCATTACCATTGGGTTACCTGGATGTTAAATGAAGGCACCTTAATACATAATTATAAACAATAATTCGAAATAAATAATAATTAATAATTAGAAATATATCATTAGAAATAATAATATTCAGGAAAAAAATCAATACAAACACATGTGTTCCAGCAAATGCCACAATCTTGTCAAGCAGATAGGCTTTTTTGCAGGGGAAGGAGTGTTGTGAGAGGTAAAGGAGATTTTATTATAGCATACAGTGTAAAAGACTGACAACGATAACGAACAAAACAACACCTGCCAGATACACTGCAGGGAATTGTACAAACTACAGCTCAGATACTCCTGCTGGTGATTTTATCAAAATGTTAGTTCATAAACAGCTAGAGGTATCAGTGGCAGTCCAGGCAAAACTGTTGAGAGGAGCACAGTACACACATTATCGCCTTCCAGATATTCAATCTTAGTGACTGGATCTCCATAAATGGAGAACTGAGTTCAGCCCCACTGGTCACAAATCCTGGACTTTGAACTGTTCCCTATGTCTGTAGCACAATTTAGATGCAAGGCCAAAGCTACAATGTTGGTTGAAATTTCATGATTCTCCTCACTTCTCCGGAGTCTTGCTGTTTAATGACACTGTCCTGCAACCTGAAATTCATGAGAACTCTCAGGCTCTTACAGAGTGACAGCCCTTACACATTTACCAGATTTTCCAACACATCACAAGTGGAATTATAGAATCATAGAATTATTAAGGTTGGAAGAAGCCTCTTAGGAACATCTAGTTCAACCCTCCTGCATGTGCAGAGACACCTAGAGCATGGGGCACAGGGTGGCATCCAAGCAGGTTTTGAAGACCTCCAGAGGAGACCCCATAACCTCTCCGGGCAGCCTCTGTCACCCTCACTGTCAAGAATTTTTTCCTTAAGTTCCTGTGGAACTTTTGGTGCCTCAGTTTGTGGCTCCTCCCTCTAGTTCTGTCAGTGGTCACCACTGAAAAGAGGCTGGTCCCTTGAGGTATTTATACACACTGAGCAGATCCCCCTCAGCCTTCTTTCCTTCAGGCTGAAGAGGCCCAGCTCTCCCAGCCTTTGCTCCAAGGGCAGATGTTCCAGGCCCCTGATCATCTTTGTAGCCCTGCGCTGGACTCTCTCCAGCAGCTCCACATCCCTCTTGTGGGAGTCCAGAACTGGACACAGTCTCCAGACCTCTAGATGTGGCCTCACCAGGGCTGTGTAGAGGGGAACGATCACCTCCCTTGACCTGCTCGGAGACGCTCTTCTTAATGCACCACAGGATCCCATTGGCCTTTTTGGCCACGAGGGCATCCTTTTACCTCACAGTCAACTTGTCCATCTCATCCAGAAAAATGTTATATTAATACCTAAGAAATGAAATGCAGTCACCTGTATACCTATGGCTGCTTGTAAGAGTTTTTGCCCAACAAATGGAAAGCATAGTGAAGAACTAGAGCAGTGAATCCAAGCCAACCAAAAGGGCAGAATAAACCCAAGTGGAAAGGATCATTATCTTGGTAAAGAGATTGCCTTGCCCTTTGCCATCTTGAACTAAGGGACCTTCAGGAGCACACAGAAGAGAAGCAAAGCTTTACAGCTCGGCTCACAGATTCTGCTTTGGCAATACCTCGAGCACACACAGCAAGGTTACTGGGCCTTTCTCATCTCTCAGTTTATATTCCCTGGAAGGATCCTTCAACAGTCTCCAGCATTTTTCTGCGTTTTATTTCAGAGCCAAGAAAGCTATCCTTATAAAAATGCTGAAGACTACTTGTGGTTTACACACAAAGTTTTCCCTCACTCCCTTTGTGGAAAAGGAAAACCACCGCACTCCGGGAGGGTCAAGGGAATAGAGGCCTTTGAACAAGTCCCACGAAACAAGGGAAGATTCAGATCAAACAGGGTGCAGATGTGGCCGTGGAATGACAGAGCCACAAATCCTCTCCAGAGCAGATCTGAGAATACCTCACAGCTGGACTTTTACAAGATTCTTGAGCTTTCTCTTTGTAGCAGCAAAATCCTACGTCCCAAAAGGGAGCACAGGAATTTCTCAGCTGCCCCAGCTGCCCTTGAGCTCCTTCCATAATGTAGTTATGTAGTCGAAGAAAAAAGAAAGAAAAAAAAATAAAAAAGCTTATTTTAGGGAAACATTAAAAGCAAAGAGAGAATCTGGCTGTTGTTGAGAAAACCCTTTTATTCTGCTGTTTTACACCACCGCTATGTTGGGTGAAGCCATATGTAACATGTTGCAGTTGCTATGGGAAAGATTTGTTTTCAGTTGTTTTCATTACAACATCAGGAACGAGATTAGGTAGTTGAGGTACTGTTAGGGGTGGCTCTGCTGCCTTCAGCTTTTGGCAGACATTCTTCAAGAGTTTTCTCTGTCTAATTTTCTCTCCAGGAAGAAGAAAATCTTTAGCAGCAATTGCATCTCCTGAGCTGGCCCTCCCTCTGAGATGCTTTTCTACCTGTCCTTTCATAAGAGCTTCAGAAAATGAGATATTCTCAGCTCTTATTCCAATTCTTAACCTCATGCCTTAGTTTCATTGATAAGAATTTGTTCAGCAAAGGAAAATTCACCTGTGCTAACCACATCAGTGAATTCATTCAATAAAGACTTTCACCCTAAGAAGATAACCATATTCTGCTGTGTGCTCTTAATCCTGTAGCACAGGAACCCTTGCATGGGATTCAATGGGAATTGTCAGATGGACAGACAAGTCACAGCACCTCTTCCCTGTTGCTTCAATGTGCTCTTCCTCCCACTTGAAGACTCTCATAACCCTCCCATTAATGTGGCCGTACATCACATATGACCCTTCTTAAATCCAGTTTTCTATTTTCTGAAATTCTTCTGTGCATTAATTTTACCTTCAGACTATGGCAAAGCTCTACATTCTGCTACCCACTGCCTAAACAGATGTCCTTCATGTCCTGAGAAGCCTAATCCATGCAGAGCTGGAGTTCCGTAGCTCCTCCATTTGCTCCCAACCCTAGGTCTTGCTTAGTTTTACCCTCGGAAGACAAAGCATGAAAAAAGGGACTGTTCCCTGTACTCTCACCCTTCCTGCCTCCCGTGGCCTGTTTCTCTTTAGAATTGCACGGGCTGTTTCCATCACAGATGGTCAGCTGTTTCCCACTCAGCCACAGAACATCGCCCATATGGTCTGGATTCCTTGAGTTTTGCACCTTCCCCTAAAGACACTCGCTCAACACAATGACATTTGTGTTGTTTGCCTCATCAAACCCACATTGACTACGCTCTGAAATAAACTGCTCCTCTGGCAGACTTTCCATTCCCGTAACTGGTTCATGATTCTGCGGTATCTTAAGAGGCCTGTAATAGCTCCTGAAGGTTTGTGGCTGGGCATGGCTTTCATTACACTGCACATTACATTTCCATTATCAGTCAAGAACCCTTAACCCCACGTACCACTGTTGTGATTTTATATCCTAAACAGGTGACAAAAGACATGCTGGAGGTCAAGTTCTCTGCTGGATGAAATTGAAATGGGGTGTATACTGCACACTAGGGGAGAGCTAAAACCAGAACACAGGTGAACCTGGAAAAGAGAAATGAATATCCTCAAGGAGCATGCATGAGCATCTCTTATACATGATATTCAAAGCAGATGTGTAAAGAAATTAAGAGGAAATCTCCTTTCCTATGTATGGATGTATTTAGTAGTATTTCCTGTAGCTTCCCTGTCAACTTGTTCTACTCTCAAGCACTGGGCAAATGAAGCTTTCTTACATCTTGTACAGATTTCTCATACACAACTGGAATATCCTTTTTATGACTATGCTTGTTGTTGAAGGGTTTGACCAGAGCCTTTCATTACACCCCTTTGCTCCCAGAAACCTAAAGGAAATATCTATTAGGCATTATGTGAGTATGCACACATGCACATGCCTTGCATGGTCTTTCTCCACATTGTCTCAGAGCACAAGAGTCATCTCTTCTTTCTTTCCTCTTCCAGCCAAATGGATGTAACAGTAATATGGGATGTCTATTAGATACAAGTCTATGAATGTACATGAAGAATCAATAGAAATTCAACCAATAGAAATTCATGCATGCCATTAAAGGAGGCAAAAGAAAGAATCAGATCAGAAAGTAACTAAAATATCTACAAGATTTCTCAGTATTTTCCACTTAATCGCAGATGTCTTATTATTTTGTTCTTCATTTCATGCATTTGTCTTCAATGCAAAAGTCCTCCAGCAACTTCATTTGCAGCCTGGAGAAAATAACACCAAGGCTCATGCTCCCGATGGCCATCCTGTTGGGGTCACTGTGAATCTCAATGCCCAGCTATGGTATCACCCATGCATCGACCCCACATCGACTGCTATTCTAGCATTAGGCTGCAAGGCGTAGGATGTTCATCTGGATTTACCTCAGCTTGTCATTGCATCATGCAAGGCACATCTGAAAAAAAAAGGAGCTTCTTTGAAAGATAAACAAAGCCCAAAATCCCTCACTAGAGCCATCCACATCACTGAGACGCTGCCGCAATGTGGTGGCTACAGCTGCCTGAAGTACAGATGTTCAGAATCATGCTCTATAAAAGCTTACAAGGACAGGCAACCAGATCCAAAGCGGTCCCGAGAACATCTGGCCAGTTGGATGCACTGGTGTTTAATAAAGGCATCACCAACGCTGTTTACAGTACCTGCCTTAGTTTTTTGATAGAGTTCATTATGCAAGGTGGTGATAAGAGCTGCAGAAAAACGAATATGTTTTCACTTAAAAACAAGCAACATTACAGTTCAAACAGATCTTCTAAGCCTTCATGGTTACTTTAAGTGCATTGTATTTATAAATAAGCTACTAGAAAAATGTGTGTTTTCTTCTGTAATTTATTCTACTTGGCAGAAGCAGTTTTGCAACAGCAAGGGCTTTGGCTTCCACAGTAGAGCACATGCTACTCTCACTACCTGCCTAAACAACTGCCAAATTTTACAAGGGAGAGAAGTAGCTTAGAGCTTGGAATCATGTGCATTTAGAGACAGGATTTGCAGGGATTTCAGGAGTCTTGCAGATTTCGATATTTTTCGGTAGCACCTTCAGGACCTATAAAGCATCTTGATCTTAATGCTTAAAAGCATCTACAGCATTCATGGTACTTGTTACTTTAGTAACTGTACTTTTCTCCTCACAAGTGTGTTTCCATCAAATGCCCATAGCCTCTCTTTATTTCTACTCCTTTAAAAAAAATCCATGATTTAGATGTACGTATCAAGGCAAAATTAGCAATGACAGTTCAAATTCATGCGGATACGCCAATAGGTCACAACATATTTTTCTTCCTTTTCTAGACACAAAGGCAAGGTGAATCAATTTGCAGCACAGTCAGTAAGGGGCAGTTGCTGGAAGCACAAGGTTTTTTACAAGACTCCTTATACAAATGTAGTTATTCTTCACCCAAGAGTAAGTCAAACGGAAGGCAGAAAAATGAACTTGGAAGTCCAAAACCTACTGTATTCAATGGTAAAATTCTCACAATTCAATTACTCTTAGCTTCCTTGCTCTAAAACTTTCAAATAGCACTATTTTCTCAAAACATGCTCCTGCACTTCAGCACTGAAAACTCACAACTCTGACACCCTAACCTGAAGGAGCATTTGTGCAGCACTTGAGGAGTCATTAAGCTGGCATAACAGCTTAGTGAAAAGGCCCTACAATTGCTATTCACTGCCTCCAATATCTGATTCCCTTAAAGCCTAGGACAGCAGGCATTTCCCTCCTTAGAAACACTGATAATGCATCTTTGTATCTGTAGTCGCTTTAGACATAGTTCTGTAGCTAAGAGAGACACCGACACCTAGGAGCGACCAACACATTGCAACTTCCAAAGTTAATTTTGAGCAAAATACCACATAGGACAAAGGGAACAGGAGATGCATTAACTTACACTGAAACACAGTGCTGGCTTCGACCATGAAATCCTACCCTGCATCTAACACCAATATCCTGCCCTCACCTGGTGATACGGTCGTGCCTGCGCTGCAAGCAGAGATGTGAAGGCAGCAGGAGTTGGCATAATGGAAATCCAGTGGCTTGGAGGCTCCCAGCCTGTGTGCCCACGGTTAGCCTGCACTGAAGGCCATCTCAGTGTATTTATATATATTTATATATTATCAAGTGAAAGCTGCCTCAGATATGCCCACATGAACTGCAGCCATACGTGCCCCTACACAGCAAATAATAATCACCAAGCAGTGCTGCTGTGAAGGGGCAGAAACGGAGGGAGGTGGTGGAGTGGGGCACAAAGCAAACCTGAGGGTGTAAATAGAAAGGCAGTCTGGAAAGGAGGGGAGAAGGAGAACCAACCTTCTTGCTTTCAAACGGATGTGCCCAGGGTTTTGGACAGTGCACAGAACATGTTCAAATCCAAAATTCTGCAAATATTTCCTCAACTACACATTGATTTATGGCTATTTAATACTTTAAAAAATAGAGAAACCACACCAAAACTCTGATATTTAATTGGCATTTTTTTCCTGAAAAAAACACCAACAATTGTTCATGAAAAAATACTTCATTTTAACCATTCTTTCAAATGCAGGTGCTTTTTCATTTGCTTCACACTTGCACCTATAGTGCAGTATTACATAGCAATACTGCAGGAACCAAAGGCTCACGTAAGTAACAACAACAACAACAAAATCAGCATTTGATTAAATAGAATTAAAATGTGAGAGTTGACAAACACTGCACTGCACGATGCAAAACACAGCGCTGGTGCCCACAGTGGCGCGTGATGGCAGGAAAGCTTAGTGGTAAAAGTGGTAGCAAGAGCAGCAGGTGACAATAACAACGAGTAAAATCTGCTCAGGAGAGAACACTTATATTAAGAGTATTATGAAAACACAACAGCAAACCTCTGCAGAGCGTGGCCTGCGCAGAACCAGACTCTTTGGATAAAAGAATTCAGATGAGGAATGCTGTTATGAAACACAAGAGGGACAAAGAGTGAAAAGGAAAGCAGTTCCCCAGCCCAGAGTTCAACCTCTTTCTCAACAAGTTACTAATTGCTACTTGCTAGAAAGTAAATTGTGCATTATGATACATACGCTCCATATTGCTCACTGCTGAATCACCAACTGCTAGACAGATGGGGGAGAAAAAAACAACAAAAGCAAAACAAAAACAATGTATACTGAAATTACATATTTAGGATTGCTTTATTTTATGCCTGTTTTGGCTTCAAAATCCTCCACCAAAATAATTCAGTGGGAGAAGGCTCTTAGGCAGCCACGGTTTTTGTGAACTGCAGATCCTGACTAGCTAGAGCGTTGATTAGTTTGTATCACAGTGCAGTTCCTGAGAGAGCACAGAGCTTGCTGCAAACTTCTGAAGCAGCTTTAGTGATAAAAGGGGGGTTGTTTTGTTCTGTTCTACAGGGAAAGGAAAGGAAATCCAGCAGAGCAAAGAGGCCAAACCACCGGCTTTTTGAAGAACCACCAGCTCATACAAGCCTGACACCAGTAATGGTCATCTATCTTCTAGCTACTAAGCACTGGTATAAACAGTCTGTCTGCTCCTTAGGTGATGCAATGTCCTTGCAATCCTCCTGAAAGCAATTTGGTCTCTCATACAGTAAAGTTAAAACAAGATAACAAAGTGATAAGCCAGTCACTGAGAACACTATTTATCCAGATGACATAATGCTATACACTGGAAACCAAATGTCAAGAGATGGACTTGGAGCCCTTAGAGCAGTGCACTGAAAGATATGTGAAAATGATGAGCCTGAAAAGCAATAATATCTCTGAAGTGGTGCTATGTTTCATTCTGCCAGAATGGTCACAGATATGCAATGAAAAGTATGGCAAATTATTCTCTTCAAAAAAGTGTCTGTTTACTGCATGTGCAAAAACTCCTGGTGCATTTTTGCCACAAATCCAGCTTACCCGGAGCTTCTCTTCGGTCTTAGTGGATTGCTTACAGTCGGGATGCCAGACAGTGGAACCTGGGGGAGTTTAAAAAAAAAAATCAGATTAAAATGGATGGATGACCTGACCTCTGGTCCTAAAAGGTTAGGTATTAAAGAGTACCTCTTCCCTGCCTAAGATGGTGTTGTGTGTCCATCCCAGCTCATGAAAAACACGGGTAAAACACAAAAATCCAAACCCTTAACCCACCTAGGGCAGCCTTTGTGTGGGACTGTCAAAGCAGTTAGCACAATTCAAACACCTTGAGCAGCATGAAAGTCATGTAGAACCAGGTGAGAACCAGCTGCTGGAGCTGAAAGGCTCTGCTGGCCAAGGGAGGACAAATTGGGCCATGGGTACTTCAACTATTCTCCGGGAGTATTTCTATCCCATTTCAGTTATCTTTTGGGAAAGTTCAAACTGTGGTCACTGCTGGCAGGTTTAGCTAAACTGAAATTGACTGAAGCTGATGCTAATTTTTAACAGTGACTGCTGCTGTGGCAAATCCAAACCTCCTTCCAACTACCACAAAGCCTCGCCTGAGCTTTGCCTGTCTGCAGGAGGGAGCTTCTCCTTTTCCTTCTGTCCTCAGAGAAACAAAAGCCCAGATCTCCTACTGGCTAATATGTGCTCAAGGGCAGCTAGAGGAAACCCTTCCCTCAGAGACTGTTGGAAAGGAAAGGTCAGGGGCCCTGGAGAGGTTGTTCCAACGTGCCCTTGCTTGGCTCAGTATGGAAGTGAAGACCAGCAGGAATGACTTCACGTCCCAGCAGCACATGATATAATCATCCTCCTGAGGAGACTGTAGAGAACACGGACTCTGGATCGAGGTCTGGGATGTTTGGCTTTCAGTCTAAGCTGAGGAAGGAGAAACTGTGCACTTGGCAGCGGGAAATGCTCAGACCACAACAAGAGCCTTCACCATAAAAAAGCAGCAGTCTCCGAGCCAGGACCCTACAGAGTCTGCAAAGGTCGGGAGAGAAGCAGCCCTGTGCATTCGACTAGGAGGTCTCTCAAATTAGCTCTCAGGAAAAAGGGAGTTTGTGCTATAAGGCCAATAAATTGGGATTCAGAAGGTTTAGGCTCAATTCTCTAATTCAGTTGCAGACTTCCTACACTGCCCTGGTAAAAAAATCTCTTGGTTCCTCTGTAGCTGAGTTTCTTTCCTATTAAAACTTCCCCATCACCAAGGCTATCACTGTGCTTTGGGGCAGCATTTCATACAAACTGGGATAGTTTTAGAAATGCCCTAGGAGATCTCTGGAGCTGTTAAAAGCCAACAAGACAAGAGGATCCCAAGCCATTTTGAGGATGGACCTGAGCAAAATGTTTTCTTTCAGAAAGTGGCTTTGGCCTTGGGAAGTTAAAAGTAAGTATTTTGTAAAATCCTCAACTCTGTGCCAAGCACGAGTTGTAGGTTTCATTTTGCTATACACCTTTTGGAAAGGCAATTTGGGGCAGTGAAGGTGTGGAGCAACTGTGAAGTCAATGTTTCAGCCACTTAATAAAGCACACTCAAGTGAAAAAGTAATAGATCACTGCACAGAAGCCAGAATGGTTCCAGTCCTCTTTGCTGGTACAATATATAGATGATTTATAGATTGCTGAGTTCTGTGACAGAAGAATTAAGAAGTCTGACTGTCTGGTTTGGGTTTAACAAGAGAACTTGCTCCTCTACTGCCAGGCAGTGAACTAAGAAGGCCTCTGCTGAAGGGCTGTTTCCACATTAGTTGTGTGAGCAGTTGCAGAGCCAGGTCTGCCAGTTCTGATGCCACTGGCTCCTGGAGACATCCTTACCTTGCAGATACATTTCTTCTCCTTCCGTGAACATCTGGTTGCACCTGCTGCATCGTGCACAACTGGGATGATAATGCTTGTCACCGGCCTAAACACAAACAGAAAAGGGAAGTGAGGGATTAATGCACTGCTGTTTTGTGAACGCTTGTTACTGCTGACTGGCCACTGTTCTTTTTCTTCTGCAATGATGTAATATTGTCCTACAATGTGACAGTAGGTTTGAGAATGCAAGAGCTGACACATTGCTTCAGTCCAAAGCTCTGCCTTATGCAGTATCCTGTCCTCAACAGCAGAGACCAGCAGCAGCCAGTTGCGGGAAAGGATCATAAAAATTAAGATGAGTATAGAAAAGATAGAATAGTCTTTCCCCTTTCTAACTTCCCAGGCTCAAGTGACCAGCGTTTTAAAGATTTCCTGGGTCAGAGGCTATGTTCCAGACTACGCATCCTCCCTGGTTTTGCCCATCACCTTTCTGAACCCTCATTTATTTAAGAACCCAGAGCAGTGAAGGGCACAGTGCAACTAGATGTTTTTGGAAACCTGCTGCCTCATCGTGTCACACGCCCTGTTTGTGAAGAGCAGGCACCAGCAACACGCACTTTCTGCTGTCCCTTTGTTATGGATGTGTCCAGATAACCCCTAACCTGCCATTTCTCTCCCTGCCCTTCTTCCTGATGCTGCTTATGTGGGCATCAATGAAGAGAGGCCTCTCTAGGCTACTGCTGGGACCATTAGCTTAATCCATACATGCCTGACTTCAGAGGGCACGCTGGCAATGGCAGCTTAAAGGGAATTTGAACTATTGACCTAAAGATGCTAAATACTCCAGATCCCATTACCCAAATCCAAATCCTCTGAGTCATTCACTCTCTTAAATACATTGATACTCATAATCAACCGGGCTGATCAGATTTCAGGGCTATATCGAGGACAGGGAAAAATCAGCAATACAGATATTAATGTGATTTTTATCCTTAGATAGGCAAAGCAACCGATGTATTCACTGTCTTGCATGAGAAACTAAACATGTGAAGTCCACATCAATCTTTCTAAAATATTTTTTAAATATAAAATAATTAACCCTAAAAAATAACCTTGATTAGTAACAAGTTCTGAATTCTATAAGTTTTTTAAAATTGTGACTTCTTCACAAGTTAACCTCAAATCCTTTTTCAAAAAAATATTCCATATCAGATAAAACATGATATGCACAAAATACCTGCTTATTCTGTAGCCCATTTGCAACACGTCATCGCATAGTTTCTTATTTCATTATACTTGCAACTGTAACTTATTATGAAGTTCAATCTTTTCTTACATCTACTGAGGCAAACTAAAATACATTTGTCAGGAACAATAACTATTCATAGAGACTCTTTGTTGCAGATACTACTCGTCTGTTATGGTCTTTTTAGGACAATTCCTTTCTAGGACTTTCTGTCACAGGAGCCCTGAGGAGGGGAGTCAGTTTGCTGTTAATTTAGCTACACAGACATTCTTTACTTGCAAATGAGCCTGCACTTCTCTTAAAAAGACACAACCTTTGCTGTTGGTTCAGCTCCACCAAACAGCAGGATGAATTGCCCTTAGTGGTCTGTGCACCATGGGTGTACACCACTACCAGGCCAAAGCAGTGGTAGCAGTTACCAGGAGTCTGGTGAAAGGGAGAAAAGGAGAGGCCAGTACCAGACACAGCAAGCAGAGGAAGATCAGACAAGGAGAATCAAGGTCAGAGTGTTGCCTCTCACTTGCAGCAGCAGCACCAATACTCAGCTGAGATGGAAAAACATCCTCATTGCTGATTCCGTTTCTACCATTTTCAGGACTGGCTGTCCTCTCTGGTGCTGACTCTGTAGCGATGATTTAACCTCCGAGATGTCCCATCAGCTCCATTCAAGACTGGGATTTAGAATGAGGAAATGAGGAAACTCTGCATTTATCTGAAACATAATGCTGGCATCAAGCCACAGCGATTCCGATCTGGAGCACGGACGTGCACAGAAGAACAGACACTGCATAACTGGAACACAGGGCTGTGAACACTGAATGGGGCTCAAAGATACATCTCCAATTTGGACAGCTCAATGCTCAGAAGCTGAAAATCTATTTTTCATTTTTTGCTTCTCAGAGATACCACAGAAGCAATTTTATAAATACTGAGGAATAGGAATTCTTTAAGTATCTGTTGCAGGGAAAAAAAAAAAAAAAAAAAGAAAACCCCTTTTGAGCATTGCTAAGGTTCTTCAGCAAAGTGGGGCCCACAGAGCTGCTTGTCACAAGTGATTCCAGGCTTATTTGTCCTACAGACAATGCCAAATCTTGTGTCCCGGGAACAGCTCATAGTTAATGACATACAAAACCAAAATAATAATAATAAAAAAATCTAAGAAGGGTGAATCACTGCCGGAAAGGATCTTATCCAAGCAGAAAAACAGTAATTTAAAAAGCACATTAAAAAAGTACATTAGAAAAATATATTTCCAAGAAGTCGGTACATCAATATTATCCAATGAAGCAGGTCTTACCAAAAAAATAAGTCTTACTGAAGATCCTGATGCTCAACTAAGGCAGAGCAGTTTTAAGAAAGGTAGTTAGGATCCAGTGAAGAGATTTATATTGTGAGGTTATCACAACAAGCAAAGGTGTGTGGATAATGCACATCACTCACACACACATGTAGGTTTTTAACTGTTGTTCTTCTACCAGTCTGACCTTCAGTGTGTTTTCTGTAAGCAAGGAAGTTTTATTGCCCCAAAGTCTTCATCAAACGCCACATTTCATCAGCACCCCGCAAAAGGTATCAATTCTTGGGGCGCGGTGAAGCGACCCTATCAGTGATGATCCAGGCTTCTAACATTCCTATTCCTTGTTTTCCAGTTTATTCACAATAAAATTGTGCATTGACGGCTAGCTTGAGCTGTCCCTTGTCCTACAACAACCTGTATCTGGACTATCCAGTGCTAATATCATTGGGTCTTTCACGTGCCATGATCATTAGATAAACAGTCCACTTAGTTTTCTCCAAATCACATCTTTTTCCAAATCCAATCTTTCTTCAGGCTGCTTTAGAAGAGGGCACCTAGATTCAAGTACTTCTCTGTTACTATAAACATCTTACATGTCTTAAAGAGTCAGGTCATTTTTAGGAGAAACAAATCAAGGATTCAATATACAAATATACAAAACATACAAATCCTCCTCAGCTGATTAAACCAGTCTTCAATGCATCCTAAAAGCTACTGTGCTGCTTTCAGAGAGCTTCGGAGGCTCCCTGCACTGGAGAGGCAAAAACCCCTAGGGAATGTTTGGAAAAGGAGAGGGCAGAGCGTCCCACAGGCTGCACATCACACCCCGCCGTGCGCACCCGCCTGCAGCCCTCGGTGCAGTTAAGAGGCAAACCTAAAGCTGAGAGACAGGGAAAGCCCAGCTAAATGCAACGCAGTTTGCCCACACGCCCCCTTCTCTCCGTGCTGGCAGCTGAGCCTCTCCCCGGCGCACAGAACACCAACCTGGGTTCATTTCATTAAGAAGCGCTGCTGGGTGGGCTGCAGCTCACAGGGGCAGGGAGGGCAACCGTGGCACCTCAGGAAATTGTGACCAGGATTGATTCCAACCCAAAGAACACAAATACAGCTACGGGCAGGCAGATGTAATGTGATCCTGAGCACACACACAGCTTGAACCCCATCATCATGGCCTATAGAGGCCAATGCCCACCCTAGTATCCAGACTCCAGCCCCTTACTCTGCCCTTGTCTCCTACAAGCCTAATTTTTATACTATGGCTGCTTGTAGAACTCTGATCTATTCTATAAATGTTTTCCTCTTCTGTGAATGTAAGAGCTTAAGATGTATTACTCACGCCTTCACTTCTGCCCTCCTTTCCAGAACAGCAGTGAGTGAGAGCCAGGAAGGACAACAGGAATCCCCCTAGGAGAGCTGTCATGCCGGTAGGTCTGGTAGAAGAACTAATCACCGACAGACATTTTCTGTTGGCCAAGAGACACAGTCAAGTGCATTTTTGCTACGTTACATTTGCACAGCTGCAGTCACTCCCAATATTCAAAGATATCTTAGCAATTACCTGACAAATATCTACTAAGGATGTAGAAGCCCTTCCTTTGCTTTCAAAGCAGCATTTAATACCACAAAAACTGCCATGCAGTTCTAAGAAAACACCTAAGATGCTCTTTTTCTTTCTTTGTCTCTCTCTCTCTTTTTTTTTTTTTTTTTTTTTTTTATACAGGTAATAATGGCTCTGGTTTGACAACTGAATCCCATCAAATATTTAGTTCTACCACAACTCTGAGGAGGATGACCTGATTTCTTAACTCTCTTAAGAATGAAGGAGCAGCCTAAAGAATAACTCCAACCTGTATTTTAAACCCCTTAAGGAATGTCATGAATTGTAAAACAGGAACTGCAGCAGAAGCCTACATTTGCAGGGAAGCTTCATTCTAATGACTTGCAGAGGTCGCAGAACTTTTAGCCCTGTTTGATGTTTCGTACAATATCAACTCCGGTTGTTTTCTTCTCTGCAGGCTGTGCTGATCTCACAGGCGGGTGGAACGACACAAACTCTGAGAACCAACATTTCCCTCTAACAACATCCTGGCTTTAACTGTCCACTCATTTTTCCTAGACTCTTATCTGCTTAGCAGGTCGCTACAAATACATGTGCTCAAATACAAAAATAAAGGAGCAGATCCTCACAAAGGATGCCAGAATCAACCTTTTGATTCTTATTCCACACCAAAGGAAGGAAAGTATAACTTCATTTAAGCTTTAAAAATAACGTGAGTAGGATAAATCCTTATCTGATATATAACTTTTGTTTGATATATATCTTTAAGCCTAACTTCTGTCCTGAATTCCTTGCCAGCAGAACTCCCTCTGTGTTCACTGGCAGACACACTGAGGCAGGAGCCCCATTGCGCAAGGTGTCAAATGATGCCAATATTCCATTATCCCAGATTTTTAGCCCTTTCTCCCCCTCCCCCGGTATAAATAACTCACATGAGGTCTGAGAAAAAGACAGACATATCTATAAAGTTTCAACTACCCAATTGTAGTTGGTGTGATTTCTTTG